TTGTGGCGTCTGGCGGTGCGGGACCTGGCGGTTCTCCGGGTGCTTCGCCTCGGCGGGAGCCCCTCTCTCCACAGGAGCTGCGCGAGTGGTTTGCTCGCCGCTGGAGACGTACTGCTGGAGCTGGAGCTCCTTCGGCTGCTGAGGGTACTTGTGCCGCTGGTCCCGGAGCTGCTGGGCCCTCGGGTCCGCCTGGAGCTGGATCTGCCGCGGGTGTTGGTGCTGAGACTGCTCCTGTCCTTCCTGGCGGTGGTCCTGCTGCGGGTGCTGCTGGTGCTGCTGGAGGTACTGGAGCTGGAGGTGCTGTTGGCGCTGGTGCTGCTGCTGAGGGTGCTGTCCCTGCTGTGTCTGGAGTCGCCGCGCGGCCTCGGCCGTACTTCGTTCCACTCCTACAGCAGGTTCTTGGTCTTTCTCCTCCTGCAGCGTGTCCACAGCCTGTTCAGTCACAGTCCCAGTTAGAGCCCGCCTCCCCACTTCCTGCTCCCTCTCCTTACACTGGTCCCACTGGAGGTCTTGCTGAGCGTCGTGAGCCTGCGTCTCGTCCTGCGTCGCCTGTTCGTGCTGCTCGCGCTAGTGGTCGCGGTTCGCGTCAGCGTCCTCCTCCTGTCCCTGGCACGCACCGGATGTCTTTGCGTCCGTCCACTGCTCCTCTGCGTGCCCCTTTGCCTTCTCCTCCTGAGTCCTCCCTTCCTGCACTTCCCGACCCAGAGTCCGACTCTCTTCGTGCTGCTCGTCCTACTGTCACACGTCTCCTTGCTACTGTCGTCACTGACCCCTCTTTTGAGTCCACTGCTGCGTCTGCTCTTGTTGCTGAGCTCGTCGACTTTGCTGCTAGCTGTCGTCTAGACTACGCTGCCGGTCTTGTTGCTGAGTCTGCGTCTGTCTGTCCTCCGTCCGTCGGGGGTGAGTGTGCTCTTGGCACGGACGTCCTTGAGGACAGGCAGGAGGAGTTCCAGTGTCTGGCTGCTGCTTCACCTCATCTCGCGTCCGTACTACTTGCCCCTGAGGGAGACCCGGATGCACTAGACATCCCGACTCCGCGCTCTTACGCGGAGGCCGTAGAGGGTCCCTACTCCTCTCAGTGGCAGGCAGCTATGGATGCAGAGACGGCGTCCTGGAAGTCCACAGGCACCTACGTTGACGCGGTTCCCCCTCCTGGGGCGAACATCGTCAGTGGCATGTGGATCTTCAGGGTGATGCGGCCGCCGGGCTCTCCACCTGTCTTCAAGGCGCGGTACGTCGCTCGTGGCTTCAGTCAGCGGCAGGGAGTTGACTACTTTCAGACTTTCTCTCCCACCCCGAAGATGACCACTCTTCGGGTGCTGCTGCACATAGCCGCTCAGCGCGACTACGAGCTCCACTCTCTTGACTTCAGCACTGCTTTCTTGCAGGGTAGCCTGCACGAGGAGATCTGGCTGCGCCGTCCACCTGGCTTCACTGGGACTTTCCCTACTGGCACCCAGTGGAGCCTCCGACGGCCAGTCTACGGTCTCCGCCAGGCACCGCGTGAGTGGCACGACACACTGAGGACTACGCTTGCGGCTCTTGGGTTTGCTCCCTCTACGGCTGACCCGTCGTTGTTTCTGCGCACCGACACTTCTTTGCCGCCGTTCTACATCCTCGTGTACGTCGACGACTTGGTCTTTGCCACAGCTGACACTGCTGGACTAGCCTACGTGAAGTCCGAGCTACAGAAGAGACACACGTGCACAGACCTGGGTGAACTGCGCAGCTACCTTGGCTTGCAGATCACTCGGGACAGAGCACGCCGCACCATTACCTTGACTCAGTCACACATGGTGCAGCAGGTCCTTCAGCGCTTCGGCTTCACGTACTCCTCGCCTCAGGCCACTCCTCTGTCTACTCGCCACTCGCTCTCAGCTCTGCCTTCGGATGAGTCCGTAGAGTCGAGTGGCCCGTACCCAGAGCTTGTTGGCTGCCTCATGTACCTGATGACCTGCACACGACCTGACCTTGCATACCCTCTTAGCATTCTTGCACGCTATGTTGCTCCTGGGAGACACCGACCAGAGCACATGGCTGCAGCGAAGAGGGTGTTGCGCTACTTGTGCAGTACGTCGGGCATGGGGCTAGTGCTTGGAGGGCGGAGTCCAGTGGTCCTCACTGGGCACGCGGACGCTTCTTGGGCTGACGACCAGGCTACGCAGCGGTCGTCGCAGGGTTACACCTTCAGTCTTGGTTCCGGCTCTGTCTCGTGGCGGGCTACTCGCTCGTCCTCTGTTCTCGGCTCCAGTTGTGAGGCTGAGATCTACGCCGGGGCCATGGCTGCACAGGAGCTTCGCTGGCTCACCTACCTGCTGACTGACCTTGGAGAGCCGCCTCGTTCTCCTCCAGTGCTGTACGTAGATAACAAGGCCATGCTGGCCTTGTGTCGAGAGCAGCGCTTGGAGCACAGAACGAAGCACATTGCTCTTCGTTACTTTCTTGCTCGTGAGCTGCAGCAGCGTGGTCAGTTGCGACTTGCGTACGTGGCCTCTGAGGCCAACACTGCTGATGTGTTCACCAAGGCACTTGCGCCTTGTGACCATCAGCGCTTCTGCACTCAGCTGGGTCTTGTACCTGTCTTGCCTCACTTGCTCTCCTCTTGACCTTGCTTGTACTGTCACATATATATACCTGCTCTTGCTTGTCTAGCTCTATATATATATGTGCACTCCTGCATGTGAACTGGCCTTGTGGCCTTGTCGTTGTGCTCGGACAGTGTGGTGACTTTGTGATCCACCTTGAGCTTGCTGTGCTTTGCGTGACTGGTCTTGTGACCCCTTGTTCTCCCCCACTTTGCCTATGGGGGTGTGTCAGAACATATATATAGCTTATGCAGTTGTGTAGGCTATAGTGGGGTATCCCATAGGGGGTACAACCCAATTATGGTTTCCTATATGTACTCACTTCATTCATAGTTCATTCATTCTTGTTCAAATCTTCTCATGCGGGGGACGGCTAGGGGGACGGCGCGCGGCCCCCAGGGCGCCACCACGGGTCAGCGAGGGGCCGCGCGCGGCTCCCCAGGGCGCCGCGACGAGGTAGCGAGGGGTCGCGCGCGGCTCCCAGGGCTCCGCGACAGGACGGCAGGGGCCGCGCGCGACACCAGAGCGCCGCGACGTGACGGCAGGGGCCGCGCGCGCCTTGCCCGGGCGCCGCGACAGGACGGCAGAGGCCGCGCGCGACACCCTAGGGCGTCGCAACGGACGGGCGGAGGGCGCGCGCGGCTCCCTAGGGCGCCGCGACGAAACAGCGGGGGCGGCGCGCCAGGAAGGAAAGGGGCCGCGCGCCCCAGGGCGCGCGCCAGAGAGTAAACCGCCGCACGCCGTAGGCGCGCGGCGGGATGAAAAATAGGTCGCACGCCACGGGGCGTGCGACAGATCAAGTAGCAGCGGAAGCAGGTTGGTGGGCCCACAGGCCAAGGAATGACACGCTCTGATAGCATGTTAGAAGAACGAGGAGAAAGTTTAGAAGAAGAAAGAGGAGTTGCACTAGCAAGCAGTTGAGTACATATAGGAAACCCTAGATTGGGCTGTACTCGCTATAGAGTACCCCACTGCAGGCTAGACAAATACAACATTCTGACAGCGGGTTGACGGGTTTAATCTTGATCGTCGTTACTGCAACTGGCGCTGATGCCGCTCGCTGCCGGACTTCTTCTTCTAAGTCACGTGTGAGCGCGTCCAAAGGGTTGCTCACCGCTTGATTGTCGCCCTCGCCTTCGTCATCAGGCGACTCCTGGCGCGCTTCACCTCGCGTCTGGCGTAGCTCGGCGTTTTCTCCACGTAAAGTTGTCACTTCCGCCATTAATGACTTCATGCCCTCCTACATCTCTTCCACTTGCGCCATGAGTCTGTTAACTGCCTCCTGATCCATGTGTCTAGCACTACGTTTGGTGGGCATGCGGGTCTCCGTGGCCTTCAGGCGAATGGAAAACACGAACTATCGGAGTCGGGCAGGATTGAATTAACAAACCTTGCAGCCAACCGTCGTGTAGTCCACTATACCAGCCACATCCGTGCCACCAAACTACCCTCGAAAAGCGGGGTGAACTAGGAAAGTAGCTCTGATATCAGGTGTTATGAATTGTAAAGGAGAGTGCGCAGATTAACGAATTACGAGGTTGTGATTTAACAGACTGAGAATACAATGAAGGCACACGCTAATGTAGTGGCTAGCCTACCTAGGAGGGAACCTCGGGTGAGCGAGGTTGGGTGCAGGTTTGGCAAAGGGAAATGCCGAAGGCGGCGCGAGGAGCCTCGGCATTGTTGATGTCGGCCAAACGTGCTGAGCCCGAAAATCGGGGCTGTACGCGAAGCAGTCAACCCCGATAAGGAATTCGAGAAAAAAATACAACCTTAACTTTTTGCCACACTCTAGTACCACCCTATTATGCATTTTTTTTGTATAATAGGGTGCTTCGTGCGACATGTCCGCTGAATTGGAGAGGTGAGTGCCACCCCGCAGGACATGAGAACGTTTTCAAACAACCCTTGCTCTGCGGCACTGCCTGGATGCAAACGCGGGAAAAGTGAATGACATCATGCTTACCTGAGAAGCGGCGCGTAAACGCGGCTCGCAAAATCTTCCAATTCCGTGGACCAGAGAGCAGGCATGGCGCGCATGTCATCCCAGCTTGGAGTGGTTGGCGGAATCGACGTGAGAAAACGCACGCAACAAACAGCCACGCGCAATATCGACGGCATGCGATGACAGCCGAGAATCGCCCTGGGCAGTCAGTGATGCCTTTTGGGTCTCGGTGGGGGACTCGCGTGTTCAGCTGCACATCACCCCCAACCTCTGCATCCCATTACTGTAACTTCTCCTCCCCTCATCCTTACCAAGCCCACAAAACACCCCTCACCACCATTTCTCACCAGCACAATCTATCATCTGCAAGCATTTCATACTGCTCGCTTTCCAAGTTCGTAGTAGTAAGACAACCGATTTCTTCTACGCACGCCTTGAATTCTTGCTAGAGATTCCTTTCGAAGTTCAACATGACGGTAGTTAACAGAGTGGTGAAGCCCCCTGGTGGCGACTCCACCGCCGATGTGCTCAACTGGAGCGAGGGCGCTGACGCTGGCGTTCCCGATGTGCTTGGTAGCGGAAAGAAGTGCATCAAGCGCCTTAGCCAGGTAGGTTTCTCGTCGAATAGGCTGTCACGCTGCGCTGTCTGTCCAAGCTTGGTTCGTGAAGATATCACTGAGTGTCCGGATCGTGACTATCGTAGAAGACGATACCATCCGATTTCAAATATCGTCTGGCATTTCTTGGCTGTGGGAAATCTCTCTCTCACTAAGGTCGTTTTGTTTTCTTCCTCGGTTTCCTTGTGCTCCTGCGTGCAGAAGAACTTCGAGAGCCAAGTGGTCCTCGCCCACGTGGAGGCTGACACCAAGCAATCAGAGTACGATGCTATCCCTTTTGTCGTTCGTTCACCCGCTCAACCCCGTTCAGCTTCATTCCATCCGTATCCTTCTTCTTGCTGTTCTCTCCGTCCCCAATCGCCTTACTGTGTCGTGGGATTATGCGCCTTATAATGTTCCTATGTTCTTGTCCGCTGTTTCGCCTTGCAGGACTCCCGAGGTTGCACCCGCTTCCGACAACATCTTCACGCCGTCCGATCAGACCGACCGTCCCAGCGTGCGCCTCCACCAGGTCCGCACGCGGCATACAGTGTTGTACATCTATTGCAATCCAGCAACTTGTTATGAAGATGATTATGCCAAGAGTTCAACAAAGAGATCCCTACGTGCAAATTGTATTATCCGGTTTGAGACAGTGCCCTCAGTCCGGCTCTTCATTTCTTAATGCATGTTTCCCCTTTTTTCTCCGTCACGTCACCCCCGACGTATCCTGCTCCCGTGCAGCCTGCAGGCGGCAAGAGCCAGATCCTGTTCGGCGACGAGGACTACCTGCCGACCAAGGCGCTGTGCCCGCAGAAGCTGACGGACCTCATGGGCACTCTCAGCTGCGAGCCCGACAGCGAGGAGAAGCGCCGCCCGCTGTGCCAGGCGAAGCTTAAGGACCTGTACGGCTCGCTGTCCCTGTACGGGGAGGAAGTTGTGGAGGAGGTCCGCCCGTCCATCACCGTGCACCAGGTAAGCTTCGTTTTCGTGCTTGAAGACTCATCCCCGAGCTTCTATTCTTCTGCTTCTAGTTACTTGAAACTTGAATATTGTCCAAGATCACTTCCAGTGCTGTACGTTAGCCATGCGCAGCGCGTTAATTTTTTGTTTGATTTTGTGTCCGCAGCTTCCCGGTGGTGCGAGTTCTATTATCTTCGGCGGAGACACGCCCCCCAGCCCGCCGAAACGTCGACCGTCCGATCGGAAGATCATCGATTTGATGGGTCGCGGGACGATGGAGCCGACGGACGCTGGGAAGCAGCAGCTTAGCGCGGCAAAGCGTCGCGAGCTGCAGGGAGAGGATATCTTCGCGGACGGAAAGCTCAACATCCGCAGCTGCATCGGCATCCACCAACCGCCTGGTGGTGGGAGCTCGCTGTCGCTGGTGTGAGGGTGGCTGGAAACAAAAGAGTTCTCAATCAGGCTTTGTTACGACCGCTATACATAGTTGCTTCGGGTCTGTGAACTTTGCTGGCGCTAAGCTCATCTCTTCTATTGAAGATACCATCTTTAGTATCTTTAGTTTTTTTCTTATGAATGTTTTTATGTTTGGTTTGACCTTGGGTGAATCAGAGGTCTGACATCTAGCACCGTAAACGCTGTCTATTCATAGCGTTGATATCCCTGTATGTGGCGCGCACGAACAATTTTCCGCACGCGCATACAACGCGATGCTTACAGAGATGCTCCCAGCGCTAGCTCTTCTTAACCCTGAAAAGAGTTCATGCGTGACGACGGACATATTCAACGGGTCACGGAATGCTCTAGTCAGCAACCTTAATCCAAAGCGGTTTTACGAGTCGCTGTACGTGAACCGCGCCGGTCGAAGCTTACGTATCCATACAAACGTGAATCGCCCCTTTGATTAGTGCAGGCGCCATGACGCGAGATAGGTCGTGTTCACATATCCACGCCAAAGGCATTAATTCGCCAGTTCATCACATGGCCTTCCCGTGAACAGACGTGGCTTATCGCTTAGGGGCTACTGCGGTACAACGGGTCAAGGGAGTTGCAGAGGGCTTGGAAAAAAATAGGCACGGGATGGCTATTATTTCTCCAACGTGAAAATAATTCAAGGTTCAGATTAACTAAAATCTTCGTCCGAAATTTCAGTGCCTCTTATCATGGTCTTCTCAGCTCAAAGGGAAACCTTTGCTCACGTCATTCTTGGCAAAAATAGAACAATTAAGGGTGCGTTCCTGTGGAGACACTTGTGTCTCAATCCCCTTTTTTCCGAGTCGCGTCTACACATTTTTGCAATCTCGCGTCACAAAAAATGAGTGTATCACGAAACTGTACGACCAGGCGAAATTTACAGCTGTGCTCATTTGATTGGATTTCAAACGTGACTGAACACCTGTTTCTTCAACTGTCTGGTTCGGGTGGGGTTTTGACGAGCGGAACTTTTTCCCGCGCGAGATTTTTACTGTGGAATGTCCAGGTGCATTGACATTTCGAACCGCGTACAGAGTTGTTGACAATGACGAGTCGATACGCAACTCGTCCGCGACATCAGCGCGTTTCACGCTGACAAATGAAAAATACATTAAAAGTCGCACAAGGGCGACACGCGTTTGTGACATTGTACGTTATTAGCTGGTTTTACGCGTCACAAAAGGATTGAGACACAAGTGTCTCCACAGGAACGCACCCTAAGTATAGCAAGCCACACCACCATTACCTTAGATGCCTGTCGTGTTTGGGTATAGTCTAGGATTGTTTGAAAGGTTACAATAATCTTAAAACCAGGGTGCACATTCAATTGGATTTCTGTCAAAGGTTAACCTTTGACCTCGGGGTTACTCAGTGATTTAGGAATATCTGGGGGGAGTGTTCGCTTCAGCAGGTGAACATTTGAACCCTCGAGATTTGGCAAATGTAAACCGAAGTCATCGAATGTGCTTCCGCCAATTCGTTTCCCCCCTCCCCATACCTATTCCGCTCCCACCGAAATTGTTTCCCCTTTCCCCACAATATCGTCTCACCCCCTTTCCCCTTTCCGCCAACCCAGTTGCCCTCCCCTTGATCCCCAATTTCTAGATCCAAGTGTTATCAATTTCTCCCCTGCCAAGCCTCATCTCTCACGGACGAAAAGCCCCATGCTCGCCCATTCTCAACTATTTATTCGCTACTCGTCAACCAATCAGCAGTTCCCGCAAACATGCCGCCCAAAATTTAGCCTGGAGTCGCGTTGAATGTGTACCCTGGTTTTAAGGACAACGTAACAAAACTTATGATGGACATTTACAGCTTAGCAAGCAGGGCAGACACCTTGGACTTGGTGGCATCGAAGAACTTCTGAGCGGCCTCCTGGTCCTTCACGCGGGCAGCATAGTCCAACTGCAAGGCGAGAAAGTGCAAAATAACAGTTTTAAAATGGTAGAAATGGTACGCACACCGATTTCGGGTATGGAGAAGAAAATATAGCAGCCAAGGAGAGACAAGTTGGACCGTCGACTTACCGACTCCAGAGTGGTGACCAGCTCCTTGAGCTCGGCATTAAGAGCCTTCTTCTCAGCCTTGGCCTTGGAGGCAATGACGGTGGCAAGATCGTATCTCAAGTAGCCGAGCTCGGAGCGCAGCTCGTTGCGGACATAGGGCCAGGCCTTCTTGGAGATGTAGCCCTGAACCTCGGGGAAGACGCCGATGACCTCCTTAGCGCGGGCGAGAGCCTCATCGGGGGTCTTGATCTGGATGTAGAACCGCTCGCTCAGGGGGGCCTCGAAGTCACGGGCCTGGTCAGAGTTCTCAGTGCCGGCTGCAAGTAAAACAGGGAAGGGATACACAGGACGACGTTCAGGCGAGGCAGTAAAAACGAAATGAAGAAGGGTACATCGGCAAGACCCGCATGCTATCAAGGTAGTATTAGAGTCGGATGAATACTGCTGAGCATCGGATAAACTTACGAAGGCCACCAGCCAGAGGAGGGGGGCCCTCGATCTTCACGCCGGTGACGGCCTGAGCGCTGCCGGAAAGGGAGACGGCAACGGTGGTGGCAATGAGGGCAAGAGCCGAGCGCCTGCTCTGCTTCTCCTCAGCCGAGGCACTGACGGCGAGCGAAGCCTTCTCAGCGCGGGCGAAGGACACGGTGTTGTTGAACACGCGGGAAGCCTTCTGGGCCGGGTTGCCGAGGTCCACGGGAGCAGCCAAGTTCATGGCAGCGACGGAGGTGGTGGCAGCCATGGTGGATAGTTTGGTTGCTGGTGGAATTCGGCAAACAGGGAAGTGTGCCTGTTGGTGTGGGAGCGTCGGCAAATTGGCTTACTCCTCGAGATTCCTTGGTAACGTAAATCCTTTGGATGACTATCCACGCTGTCAGGCTGCCTCCGAGCAGGAGAAGGTGGGGAGAGCAGGGGAGGATTTCGCGCAGTCCACGTGGCACTTCGCTTATCCCCAAGAGATCGAGTGAGGTGTTATTGTCAAATCGCGACATCAGATTGGACGCATCACTCGCGAAAAGCACGAATTCTGGGCTTCCGATCGTTGCGTTGTCGAAAATCTAGAAGATAGTTGGTAACACTGAAATTGTAGTTACTAGGCATTAACAAAAAGAAACATATCAATGATAGTTGTAAACGAATTTATGAATAACAAAGCATGTGACTACGTAAGATGAAATGCATGCACAATCTGAAAACCAAGGTTTAGAACAGCCGGCGTCTGTGCCGACTCGAAATCAGCCTTGAAATAGGTTTGAACCTGAAGTGGGTTTGAACCACAGTTTTCCCGTGATTGGCGTCGTCATGACCTGCAACCTTGGATTGGCAACTGCGTATTTGCACTACCTTTCTCCCACTTTCTTGGTTGTTTCGTAAAGACGAATCGTTACCGCAGCATACCGCACGTCACACGGGCAGGGGTACGTATGGCTTGGTTGGTGGGCTGCGTGCTGCTGTTTTGCTGAGCTAACCGATTAAAGCATCAGGGAGCTTTGCAGGGGAGAAAATTACTGCAGATACCGTAAGGGCGCTGCCGAGAAAACAGGATGATGTTAGTCAGACGAACCATTACTGGTAGGAACTGCATACCACAACTTCAATTACAACTACTGAAGTCTGTTCCCAAATGCATCTTTATGATTTTCTTGGCTGCCAACAGCAAGCAGCATCCTGTTTTCCGGCGACACATCAACAGTAGTGTACTCCACATACTCCACCCCCAGCCCCCTGCCTTGCAGCCACTCCAGCCGCCCCGCATCTATCAGCATCTTGCACGCCCTCCCCACCTGCACCTTGTGCTCCACTGACAGATGGGCGAACCACGGCCTGCTTGCTGCCTCTGTTGTTGCTGCTGCCTGTGCTGCTGCTGCTGCTGCCTGTGCTGCTGCTGCTGCTGCTGCCTCCTGTGGCTGATCTTCCTCCACACCTTCCTTTCCCACTACTGTTCCATTCCGCTTGGCTGCTGCTGCTGCTGCTGTTGACGGGACAGCTCCTGATGCTGCTGCCGCACCACCTGCCTCCTCACCTGCATCTTGGCCCTCCTCACCACCTCCCATGCTCTCCCCATTCATGCCCTCACCACCCCCTGTTGCGCCCTCACCACCCCCTGTTGCGCCCTCACCACCCCCTGTTGCGCCCTCACCACCCCCTGTTGCGCCCTCACCACCCCCTGTTGCGCCCTCACCACCCCCTGTTGCGCCCTCACCACCCCCTGTTGCGCCCTCACCACCCCCTGTTGCGCCCTCACCACCCCCTGTTGCGCCCTCACCACCCCCTGTTGCGCCCTCACCACCCCCTGTTGCGCCCTCACCACCCCCTGTTGCGCCCTCACCACCCCCTGTTGCGCCCTCACCACCCCCTGTTGCGCCCTCACCACCCCCTGTTGCGCCCTCACCACCCCCTGTTGCGCCCTTACCTTCCCCCAGCAGCGCCCAGCTGCTCATCCACGCCACTGCTGCAAAGTCCGATGGGGCGAAGCCCAGACGCGTGAAGAAGGCCGGGTCTGGAGGGAGGGGAGAGGCAGGGGATAGGGGGAAGAGGGAAAAGGGGAGAAGAGAGGGAGAGGGTGAAGGAACAAGGGAAGGAGGGAAGGAGAGAAGCAGGAAGGAAATGAAGACACACCTCCTGCTGCATGTCCCATAGTTCACGTACCGTTCAAAAGGGCACCACGCTCAAATGCTGCCATGCTCAAATGCTGCCATGCACAACTGCTGCCATGCACAAATGTTGCCATGCACACATGCTGCCATGCACACATGCTGCCATGCACACATGCTGCCATGCACACATGCTGCCATGCACACATGTTGCCATGCACACATGTTGCCATGCACACATGCTGCCATGCACACATGTTGCCATGCATGCATGGGCGTGTTATGGCTTCATACTGTCACCCTTAATACAGTCACTTACTGACATAAGAATCCCAGTCGCACAGGTGATGGCAGCACGTAGCAATGGCTAGCCCTGCCAGGCGCGTTCCCTGTTGCCTCTCTTGACTGGGTTGACCCTGTTGACTGGGTTCCTGTTGACCTTGATTGAGATGACTCTCTTCACTGGGTTGACCCTGATGACCCAGTTGACCCGGTTGACTGGGCTGGCTTGTTTGTGAGGCGTTCAGGCAGCACCTGAGGGCCAAGTCTGCATAGCCACATGTGACAGAGCAGCGACGGGAGGAGGGGGAGAAGCAGTTAACATGCAATATTGGGGCATTCCTTTCCCCAGCCACACCCCTCCTCCAATCCCCACACCGCCGAAGCACCTCCCCCACACTCCACCTTACGTCCCACCTGTGGACCCCAAACGGTTGGTCCCATGGCACCCCATGCTGCACGTCACATGCCATCACCCCACATGACACCACTCCACCCACATGCCATGGAGAGCACCCACATGCCATGGAGAGCACCCACATGCCATGGAGAGCACCCACATGCCATGGAGAGCACCCACATGCCATGGAGAGCACCCACATGCCATGGAGAGCACCCACATGCCATGGAGAGCACCCACATGCCATGGAGAGCACCCACATGCCATGGAGAGCACCCACATGCCATGGAGAGCACCCACATGCCATGGAGAGCACCCACATGCCATGGAGAGCACCCACATGCCATGGAGAGCACCCACATGCCATGGAGAGCACCCACATGCCATGGAGAGCACCCACATGCCATGGAGAGCACCCACATGCCATGGAGAGCACCCACATGCCATGGAGAGCACCCACATGCCATGGAGAGCACCCACATGCCATGGAGAGCACCCACATGCCATGGAGAGCACCCACATGCCATGGAGAGCACCCACATGCCATGGAGAGCACCCACATGCCATGGAGAGCACCCACATGCCATGGAGAGCACCCACATGCCATGGAGAGCACCCACATGCCATGGAGAGCACCCACATGCCATGGAGAGCACCCACATGCCATGGAGAGCACCCACATGCCATGGAGAGCACCCACATGCCATGGAGAGCACCCACATGCCATGGAGAGCACCCACATGCCATGGAGAGCACCCACATGCCATGGAGAGCACCCACATGCCATGGAGAGCACCCACATGCCATGGAGAGCACCCACATGCCATGGAGAGCACCCACATGCCATGGAGAGCACCCACATGCCATGGAGAGCACCCACATGCCATGGAGAGCACCCACATGCCATGGAGAGCACCCACATGCCATGGAGAGCACCCACATGCCATGGAGAGCACCCACATGCCATGGAGAGCACCCACATGCCATGGAGAGCACCCACATGCCATGGAGAGCACCCACATGCCATGGAGAGCACCCACATGCCATGGAGAGCACCCACATGCCATGGAGAGCACCCACATGCCATGGAGAGCACCCACATGCCATGGAGAGCACCCACATGCCATGGAGAGCACCCACATGCCATGGAGAGCACCCACATGCCATGGAGAGCACCCACATGCCATGGAGAGCACCCACATGCCATGGAGAGCACCCACATGCCATGGAGAGCACCCACATGCCATGGAGAGCACCCACATGCCATGGAGAGCACCCACATGCCATGGAGAGCACCCACATGCCATGGAGAGCACCCACATGCCATGGAGAGCACCCACATGCCATGGAGAGCACCCACATGCCATGGAGAGCACCCACATGCCATGGAGAGCACCCACATGCCATGGAGAGCACCCACATGCCATGGAGAGCACCCACATGCCATGGAGAGCACCCACATGCCATGGAGAGCACCCACATGCCATGGAGAGCACCCACATGCCATGGAGAGCACCCACATGCCATGGAGAGCACCCACATGCCATGGAGAGCACCCACATGCCATGGAGAGCACCCACATGCCATGGAGAGCACCCACATGCCATGGAGAGCACCCACATGCCATGGAGAGCACCCACATGCCATGGAGAGCACCCACATGCCATGGAGAGCACCCACATGCCATGGAGAGCACCCACATGCCATGGAGAGCACCCACATGCCATGGAGAGCACCCACATGCCATGGAGAGCACCCACATGCCATGGAGAGCACCCACATGCCATGGAGAGCACCCACATGCCATGGAGAGCACCCACATGCCATGGAGAGCACCCACATGCCATGGAGAGCACCCACATGCCATGGAGAGCACCCACATGCCATGGAGAGCACCCACATGCCATGGAGAGCACCCACATGCCATGGAGAGCACCCACATGCCATGGAGAGCACCCACATGCCATGGAGAGCACCCACATGCCATGGAGAGCACCCACATGCCATGGAGAGCACCCACATGCCATGGAGAGCACCCACATGCCATGGAGAGCACCCACATGCCATGGAGAGCACCCACATGCCATGGAGAGCACCCACATGCCATGGAGAGCACCCACATGCCATGGAGAGCACCCACATGCCATGGAGAGCACCCACATGCCATGGAGAGCACCCACATGCCATGGAGAGCACCCACATGCCATGGAGAGCACCCACATGCCATGGAGAGCACCCACATGCCATGGAGAGCACCCACATGCCATGGAGAGCACCCACATGCCATGGAGAGCACCCACATGCCATGGAGAGCACCCACATGCCATGGAGAGCACCCACATGCCATGGAGAGCACCCACATGCCATGGAGAGCACCCACATGCCATGGAGAGCACCCACATGCCATGGAGAGCACCCCACATGCCATGGAGAGCACCCACATGCCATGGAGAGCACCCACATGCCATGGAGAGCACCCACATGCCATGGAGAGCACCCACATGCCATGGAGAGCACCCACATGCCATGGAGAGCACCCACATGCCATGGAGAGCACCCACATGCCATGGAGAGCACCCACATGCCATGGAGAGCACCCACATGCCATGGAGAGCACCCACATGCCATGGAGAGCACCCCACATGCCATGGAGAGCACCCACATGCCATGGAGAGCACCCACATGCCATGGAGAGCACCCACATGCCATGGAGAGCACCCACATGCCATGGAGAGCACCCACATGCCATGGAGAGCACCCACATGCCATGGAGAGCACCCACATGCCATGGAGAGCACCCACATGCCATGGAGAGCACCCACATGCCATGGAGAGCACCCACATGCCATGGAGAGCACCCACATGCCATGGAGAGCACCCACATGCCATGGAGAGCACCCACATGCCATGGAGAGCACCCACATGCCATGGAGAGCACCCACATGCCATGGAGAGCACCCACATGCCATGGAGAGCACCCACATGCCATGGAGAGCACCCACATGCCATGGAGAGCACCCACATGCCATGGAGAGCACCCACATGCCATGGAGAGCACCCACATGCCATGGAGAGCACCCACATGCCATGGAGAGCACCCCACATGCCATGGAGAGCACCCACATGCCATGGAGAGCACCCACATGCCATGGAGAGCACCCACATGCCATGGAGAGCACCCACATGCCATGGAGAGCACCCACATGCCATGGAGAGCACCCCACATGCCATGGAGAGCACCCACATGCCATGGAGAGCACCCACATGCCATGGAGAGCACCCACATGCCATGGAGAGCACCCACATGCCATGGAGAGCACCCACATGCCATGGAGAGCACCCACATGCCATGGAGAGCACCCACATGCCATGGAGAGCACCCACATGCCATGGAGAGCACCCACATGCCATGGAGAGCACCCACATGCCATGGAGAGCACCCACATGCCATGGAGAGCACCCACATGCCATGGAGAGCACCCACATGCCATGGAGAGCACCCACATGCCATGGAGAGCACCCACATGCCATGGAGAGCACCCAACATGCCATGGAGAGCACCCACATGCCATGGAGAGCACCCACATGCCATGGAGAGCACCCACATGCCATGGAGAGCACCCACATGCCATGGAGAGCACCCACATGCCATGGAGAGCACCCACATGCCATGGAGAGCACCCACATGCCATGGAGAGCACCCACATGCCATGGAGAGCACCCACATGCCATGGAGAGCACCCACATGCCATGGAGAGCACCCACATGCCATGGAGAGCACCCACATGCCATGGAGAGCACCCACATGCCATGGAGAGCACCCACATGCCATGGAGAGCACCCACATGCCATGGAGAGCACCCACATGCCATGGAGAGCACCCACATGCCATGGAGAGCACCCACATGCCATGGAGAGCACCCACATGCCATGGAGAGCACCCACATGCCATGGAGAGCACCCACATGCCATGGAGAGCACCCACATGCCATGGAGAGCACCCACATGCCATGGAGAGCACCCACATGCCATGGAGAGCACCCACATGCCATGGAGAGCACCCACATGCCATGGAGAGCACCCACATGCCATGGAGAGCACCCACATGCCATGGAGAGCACCCACATGCCATGGAGAGCACCCACATGCCATGGAGAGCACCCACATGCCATGGAGAGCACCCACATGCCCCCTAGAGCACCTTACATGCCGGGTGAAGCAGAGTTGTACCTGTGGTGGTGTGCCTGTGGTGGTGTGCCTCTGTGCACCCCACGTGCCCACCTGTGGCAAGGAGCACCCCACTTGTGGCAAGGAGCACCCCACCTGTGGCAAGGAGCACCCCACCTGTGGCGGGGCCGCAGAGGTGCTTGCTGATGGCCACCAGGGGGCGACCCTCTAGGCTCGGCAGCGCTGCCAGCTGCAGGTCTGCGACTGGGGCGGGGGACACACGGGAGAGGGATAGGCGGGAGAGAGAGGGTGGGCGTTTACGAGGTGCTTGGTGATGAGTGGCGTGCTGCAGTGGCAAGGGGGAAGATCATGATGCCCATGCCCATGCCCATGCCCATGCCCATGCCCTTGCCCATGCCCATGCCCATGCGCATGCGCATGCCCATGCCCATGCCCATGCCCATGCCCATGCCCATGCCCTTGCCCATGCCCATGCCCATGCGCATGCGCATGCCCATGCCCATGCCCATGCCCATGCCCATGCCCATGCCCCTTGCCCATGCCCATGCCCATGCCCATGCCCATGCCCATGCCCATGCCCATGCCCATGCCCATGCCCATGCCCATGCCCATGCCCATGCCCATGCCCATGCCCATGCCCTTGCCCATGCCCATGCCCATGCCCATGCCCATGCCCTTGCCCATGCCCATGCCCATGCCCATGCCCATGCCCATGCCCATGCCCATGCCCATGCCATGCCCATGCCCATGCCCATGCCCATGCGCCATGCCCATGCCCATGCCCATGCCCATGCCCATGCCCATGCCATGCCCATGCCCATGCCCATGCCCATGCCCATGCCCATGCCCTTGCCCATGCCCATGCCCATGCCCATGCCCATGCCCATGCCCATGCCCATGCCCTTGCCCATGCCCATGCCCATGCCCATGCCCATGCCCATGCCCATTGCCCATGCCCATGCCCATGCCCATGCCCATGCCCTTGCCCATGCCCTTGCCCATGCCCATGCCCATGCCCATGCCCATGCCCATGCCCATGCCCATGCCCATGCCCATGCCCTTGCCCATGCCCATGCCCATGCCCATGCCCATGCCCATGCCCATGCCCATGCCCATGCCCATGCCCTTGCCCATGCCCATGCCCATGCCCATGCCCATGCCCATGCCCATGCCCATGCCCATTGCCCATGCCCATGCCCATGCCCATGCCCATGCCCTTGCCCATGCCCATGCCCATGCCCATGCCCATGCCCTTGCCCATGCCCATGCCCATGCCCATGCCCATGCCCATGCCCATGCCCATGCCCATGCCCATGCCCATGCCCATGCCCATGCCCATGCCCATGCCGATGCCCATGCCCATGCCCATGCCCATGCCCATGCCCTTGCCCATGCCCATGCCCATGCCCATGCCCATGCCCATGCCCATGCCCTTGCCCATGCCCATGCCCATGCCCATGCCCATGCCCATGCCCTTGCCCATGCCCATGCCCATGCCCATGCCATGCCCTTGCCCATGCCCTTGCCCATGCCCATGCCCATGCCCATGCCCATGCCCTTGCCCATGCCCATGCCCATGCCCATGCCCATGCCCATGCCCATGCCCATGCCCTTGCCCATGCCCATGCCCATGCCCATGCCCATGCCCATGCCCTTGCCCATGCCCATGCCCATGCCCATGCCCATGCCCTTGCCCATGCCCTTGCCCATGCCCATGCCCATGCCCATGCCCATGCCCATGCCCATGCCCATGCCCATGCCCATGCCCTTGCCCATGCCCTTGCCCATGCCCATGCCCATGCCCATGCCCATGCCCATGCCCATGCCCATGCCCATGCCCATGCCCTTGCCCATGCCCTGCCCATGCCCATGCCCATGCCCATGCCCATGCCCATGCCCATGCCCATGCCCATGCCCATGCCCATGCCCATGCCCATGCCCATGCCCATGCCCATGCCCATGCCCATGCCCATGCCCTTGCCCATGCCCATGCCCATGCCCATGCCCATGCCCATGCCCTTGCCCATGCCCATGCCCATGCCCATGCCCATGCCCATGCCCATGCCCTTGCCCATGCCCATGCCCATGCCCATGCCCTTGCCCTTGCCCATGCCCATGCCCATGCCCATGCCCATGCCCATGCCCTTGCCCATGCCCATGCCCATGCCCTTGCCCTTGCCCATGCCCATGCCCATGCCCATGCTGCAATCTGTGTGTCTTACTGTCAACTCGGACGCGCATCAGGTTAACTCCTGGGAGTTTCCTCAGAGCACGATCAGCCTGCAACGGGACAATGTGTCAGGACCAACGAGAGGTGACGGGGAGAGCGCAGGGTGGGGGAGGAGAGGGGGAGAGAGAAGGAATAAAGAAGTGGAGAGAGAGTTGACAGGAAGAGAGTGGGGGGTTGAGAGAGGGAATCAATGAGAGATGGGAAGGTCAAAGAGAGAATAATAGAGAGAAAGCGGGAGGAGGGGAGATGAAAAAGGGGAGAGGGGAAGGGGCAGAGGAGCGCAGGGTGGGGGGTGCGGGGAGTGGGAGAAGAAGTGGGAGTTAAGGTGGGAATGAGAGTGGAAGTGGGGAGTGAGGGAGAGATAGGGGAGGGTGGGGCAGATATGAAGGGCAGTGATCACGCAAAAAGGAGAGAAAGGAGAAGAGAGATAGGAAAGGAGAGAAAGGAGAAGAGAGATAGGAAAGGAGAGAAAGGAGAAGAGAGATAGGAAAGGAGAGAAAGGAGAAGAGAGATAGGAAAGGAGAGAAAGGAGAAGAGAGATAGGAAAGGAGAGAAAGGAGAAGAGAGATAGGAAAGGAGAGAAAGGAGAAGAGAGATAGGAAAGGAGAGAAAGGAGAAGAGAGATAGGAAAGGAGAGAAAGGAGAAGAGAGATAGGAAAGGAGAGAAAGAAGAAGAGAGATAGGAAAGGAACGGGACGAGAGAGAAGGGGAAGGGGAAGGAAGAGGGTGAGGAGAAGATTAGTAACTAAAACGTGGGTTTGGGAGAGGGGGAAAGAGGGGAGGAAAGGAGGAGTGAGAATGTCACATGCGTGCCAACCCCACTCGGCATGCCTGTTTCTAAGGAGAAGGAAAAGAGAACCTTTGAGTTGCTCCTCCATTCGTTCTTTCCCCTGCACCAAGTGCTGACCATGGCAGCATGGCATATCTGTCCCTCCTTACAGTTAAGCATTCAACCAAACCATACATGCACCCACTTACATAACCTACGAACCACAAACAACCCTCCTTCTCCCACCTCTCTCCCACCTCCCTTTCCCCTTCTCCCCGTCTGCCCTCCTTTACCCCACCCTTTTCCCTCACCCCTCTTCCCCACCCCTCTCCCCCCACCCCTCTCCCCCCACCTTGAACTTGTAAGCGCGGCGTTCAACGAGCACCACATGGCGGGCGAGGAAGCAGGAGCACAGCATGTGAGTCAGGTACCCCCTGCCCGCGCCCAGCTCCACATACACCCTGCCCTCTCCCTCGCCCCCGCCCTCGCCCTCGCCCTCCTCATCCACCGCGCCATCGCCCCTGCTCTCGCCCTCCTTCACTGGGACCTCCAGACCCTTCTCCTCTCCCTGCCGCCCCGCCTCCTCCCCTCCGTGCTGCACGGCTGCAGCCCCGGCATGCGGGCGTGCTTCCTTGGCCTCCTCGCCCCCACGCTGCTGCCCCGCCCCTCCCGCTCCTGCCTGCTCTGCCCCTCTCACGTGCCCTGCTGTGCTGCCTCCCTGCGCGTCTCCCTGCACCACTGCACCCCTCTCTGCCTGCGCGCCTGTCTGTGTTGCTGGGCGCTCAACCGTGCGCGGGCGCGGCAGGGGGCGCAGCAGCCCCACGCGGGCGAGGTTGGCGAGGATGGACGCCTGCTGCTTCACATGCCGCGGCTCAAATGGTACACTCCTGGTGCGGTGGGGCGAGGGGAGGAGAGGGGAAGGGGAGGGGAGGGGAGGGGAGGGGGGGAGTGGGGAGATGAAATGGCATGACACGACACACACACGCACACAGCAGAGCGCCAGGCAGGGGGTGCAGCAGTACCACTCGGGTGAGGATGGACGCCTGCTGCCTCACATGGCGTGGCTTGAATGGCACACTCCTGGTGCGGTGGGGCGAGGTGGGGGAGGGGGGCAGAGGGGGGCGCAGAGGAGAGCAGAGGGGAGGGGAGCAGGGGAGACAGCTAGGGGGAAGGAGACGTACATAACATGCTTCATCAGAGATGGGATAACCAGAGGGGAGATGTCTCAACCGCCCATATCCAATCCGCCCATGCCTCACCCGCCCATGCCTCACCCGCCCATGCCTCACCCGCCCATGCCTCACCCGCCCATGTCTCATCCGCCCATGTCTCATCCGCCCACGTCTCATCCGCCCATGTCTCATCCGCCCATGTCTCACCCGCCCATGTCTCATCCGCCCATGTCTCACCCGCCCATGTCTCATCCGCCCATGTCTCACCCGCCCATGTCTCATCCGCCCATGTCTCACCCGCCCATGCCTCACCCGCCCATGTCTCGAGCAGTCTGCTCCCAGGCGTCACATGCAGGCGGCCACAGCACCGACTGCTGCACAGTGAACAGCGGCGCTGCTCCTGCTGCTGCTCTTGGTGCTTCTGCTGCTGGCGGCAGTGCTGGTGCTGCTGCCTGCCCACTAGGAACCATCTCTGCATGCTCATTTTCTCCCGAGGGGGTCAGGGGAGGGAGACGCACACCGCCATGGCCCCCAAAGGCTACTGCATGTGCCTCCCCCAGCAGGTGCAGCAGGCGCTGCCACTCGCCTTCCCCCAGCGCCGCCACCATCTGCCTCCTCGCTGCCGCTGCTGCTGCTGCTGCTGATGATGAGGCCGCTCGCTTGCCCGCAGAGGCGGATGCAGCCGCGGCCTGTCCGTCAGGCCCAGGCGCCGCAGCAGCAGTAGTGGGAGCAGCAGGGGCAGAAGCAGCAGCAGCAGCAGCAGCAGCGATATGGGCATGAGCAGCAGTGGAGTCAGCAGCAGCATGACCCCCTGCCTGGGCCGTGGAGCTGCTTCTGGCACCTAGTGGCGGCCCTCTTGCATTGAGGCCGCCCTTGAAGTACGCTGCTCCCTCTGTCAACCCCCTCTGCACGGCTGCAGGACACTTGGCGACGTGCAATTGGACCTCGGATGCGAGTATGGTGCTGCCACGCAGCGTGCATTGAGGGGAGGGCAAGGGGATGGGGGATGGCGGAGCGGAGTGGGGAGGGAAGATGAGAGAGATGAGAGAGGGGAGAGGGAGCAAGGATGCAGGGGGTGCGTGAAGAGAGATGCAGGGGGGCAGCAGCGATTGCGAGGCGCAGGTGGGATGTGGCAGGGAAGACAAGGAGGGAAAAGAGCGGTAGATTGAGGGGAGGAGGAGAGTGAGGGGGGGAGGGGGTGGGGAGAGGAGAGTGAGAGGAGGAGGAGAGTGGGGAGAGGAGACAAATGAGGGGCGCAGAATGGAGGGGGAGAGGAGACGAGCGTACTGGGAGGCGTCGACCGGGCAGGGCACTCGCAGCGCTGCAGTCTCTGGGATGTGGTTACCACAGAACCTGTAACACGGGGGGCGAGGGGGCAGATGCACCGCACAGGGAGGGCAGACGGGGCGAGATGAGATGAAAAGCGAGGGAGAATGAGTGTGGGGAAAGCAGGACGATGGGCGAGCGGGCATGGCTTAAGGGGGATGGGCGAGGGGGAATGACCTAGGGGGGATGGGCGAGGGGATGGCTTGATGGGGATGGCACCGGGAGGAAATGCAAGGCCAAACACCCTAGAAAGCCCAACCCTAGGATGCGAAAAACATGGAAAGCGGAACACTATAAAGCGAAGTTCTGGGAGGCAAAGCCCTGGAAAGAGAAGCCCAAGAAAGCGGACCCCCAGACGAATGGGGTCCAGGGGGGCGGGGAAGTACTTGTGCCCGGGCTTCCTGCGGCTGGAGCACGCCCGCCCCTTCTTTGCCAACCAAAACCCTGTAAAGTTAAACCTAGAAAGCAAAACCCTAAACAGTGACCCTAGAGGAGCGGGGGGACAGGGGAGGGGAGTACATGTGGCCGGGCTTCCTGCGGCTGGAGCACGCCCGCCCCTTCTTCACCAGCCAGAACCCGCAACTCTCCCCGCTCGCCCCTTTCCCTCCGCCCCTCCCACTTGCACTCTCACCCTTCCCCTCGCCCTCCCCGTTCGACCCGCTCTTCCCCTCAATTTCCCCTTTCCGCTTCTTCCGCGCGCTGCTCCCCCGCGCGCCATCCTCTAAAACCCTGTCCCCTGCGGGTTTGGGAAGCATCGGTCCCTTCGCAGCGACCACCTGATGTGAACTATCTGCAGGGTCAGCTAAATCCGCATCCCCAGTGGATCCGACAACAATTGCCGATTCGTGGTTGGTGGAGCCTGCCTTAGAGCGCCGATCCGCCAGACGTTCCTCGTCAGCTCTGACGTCCGTCAACTCTCGCCCGTCAATCATACCGGCCATTCCGTTTGTTGCGGGGCCAGCCTGAGCGACTGCTGGACGGGACCTCTCAGGCAGTCGCGAGCAAAAATTAGGGTTTCTGAGGTAACTGGTCACCCTACTCGAGCAAGCTTCGCGTGGAAGGTGTAGCAAACTGCCTGATTGACGAGATCGAGGAGGCGTTACTGGTAACCCGACGGCTACTAAAGCGACGGTTACTGGTTTGTTTGCCGCCAAGTGATGGGCAAAGAGAGGAGCTCTCCCCATCCCTCGTACCTGTGCTGAAAATAACAACTCTTTGCACCAAACCAGTTTTTGTTTTTTACATGACTGGTTCCGCCGTTTCGTCTTCAAATTAAAACCGGGGTGCACATTCAGCTGAATGTGCATCAAAGGTTATCCCTTGACTGAGTGGGTTACGAGGTGTGCTTTCAACCCCTTCAAGTCGAAATTCGTTTCCCCCCTCCCCCGCAATTTCGTTTCCCCACGCCCCCGCAATTTCATTTCCCCCTCCCCGTCGAAATTCGTTTCCCCCCTCCCCCGCAATTTCGTTTCCCCCCTCCCCCGCAATTTCGTTTCCCCCCCCTCCCGCCAATCTGTTTCATCCCTCCCGCCATTCGGTTTCACCCACTCCCGCCATTTCACCCCCTCCCGCCACCTACGAAATGCCCGAAGCTCTAGCGGAATCATTTTTTTGTCGCCCCTCGTGAGCCAATCACTGTTTTTCTCCAAACCCCCTTCCCAACATCTCAAGCCGAACCGCGTTGAATGTGCACCCTCTGTAACGAGGTTTTTGGTCGCGAGTCAACCGTACAAAGCAAGCATGGAGTCGAAACGACACAAAGGCGACAAGCTAGCAAAAACCAGATCTTTCTCAAATCTCCCATCGCCGATGTTTTTCGGAAAAAACCTCTAGGTTGTTCCTTTGGCATCAGATCGGACGGTTTACCGCATCGTGCATCGGGCTACGGAATTGTCCGTCGTTGATACACCCGTTCATCCTCCATCGCACGTTTCATCGCCCCGCGACGCAATTCGCGGCGATTCTCAGCAAGTCGTTCCATTCATCCCACCGCCAAAACTCGCGTTCCATTCCATTCCATTGTCGCGACGCACGTATGACAGCCACACACCCCGAGAACGAATGTGTCGTTCCGTCTCCTAGTAATTCCCTTCCAACAACCACCTCGGCGATCCTCTCGCGACTCGAAATCGACAGTTGGATTGGACTCGACACCCACCAGTCTAGCGGGGAACAAGACAGCCCCCCTGCTTCATCGAGCCACACGCGCCTATCCGACTAGCCCGACCACGCACGGCAGGCAGCCTTGCAGCTGCAGCAGCAGCTGCATCACCTGTCGATGCCCGATGCTTCCTCCGCACCGATAGTACTACTGGGTAGTTGAAGTAGTTGAGTTTCCCACCACCGCCGCGGACTCCGCTAGTAGCATGCAACGGTGCGCGTCGACGCGGCACACGATGATGGCTCTTTGCCTGCCCGTCATCACGACGACTCGTATCGTCTGGTCGACCTGACTCGCAACAACCACCAGCGTCGCTTGGAGCAGCGGGACGCATGGCGGGGCGGGCAAGAGACGACGGGCAGGGCAAGGCAGGGCGGGGCAGGAAAAGGGAAGGCAGTGCAAGGCAGGATAGGGTAGAGAAAGTGTTTCGAAGCGCCTCGGAGTCGCGGTTCGTCTCAGTCTCACGCCCAGCAGCACTCACTCTGCCATACCCGTCTCTTTGGAGCTATAAAGCCCGCTCCTGCCATCCCCATTCCATCATCGGCCTTCAGCTCCGCCTTCTCTCCTCACCCGCCTCCTTCCACATCTGACTCTCGGAGTCAAGTCCACGCCTTCGCACTCTTCTTCACCACCGCCCACCAGCCTTTCTCCGGCTTGACTCTCCACCCGCCACCTCCGCCACGACCGCCGCCGCTACCATGGCGACCACCCGCGCCGCTGCAGCGAGCCGCGCGCTCCCGCTGCTCCCGCTCTTGGCGCTCTCGCTCACCGCGGCTCTCCTCCTCTCGTTCACGTCACCGTCCGACGCGCTGGGGTGGACGCAGATGTCGACCAAGTATACGTGCAACCCCAACTCCAACTACGGCATGTGGTTCAAGTACGGCTGCAACTGCCAGGCCATCAACACCACGGAGCTCGGCTACAAGAAGCTCTGGGCCACGTGCCCGGGCGTCAACCCCTCCGCGTACGGGCGGCGCGCGTTCGGCAATGTGTGGCTGGAGAGCGTGGGGTATGCGAACTGGGTGAGCATTCTGATGGAGTGCGCGCGGCAGCCGTACCACCTCAGCACGGGGTTCAACGGCAAGTGCTCCATTCCTAACATCCTCGGCAAGCCCTACTGGGTGGGCGGCGGCCCCACCCCTCCCCCCCGCGCCAACGGCATGCCCTGGAACTGGAACCCCGCGCCCCCCTACCTGTAGAGCGCTGCTGTGCGGTGCTGTGCGGGGGAGGGAGGATGTGTGGAGGGACATGCGGGTGGAAAGAGTGTGAATCTGGGTGGCGAGAAGGTTGCAAGAGAACACATGAAGGGGTGTGGAGATTTGGGTCAGATCGGAACATGTGAAGCAGGGAGCCAAGGAGAATTGCTGGATGGATGCATGGGTGTGATGGGGACGTGGCAGGGGGGCGTGCAGGAGGGAGGGAAGAGCAGGGGCGCAGCCGTGGCTAGATGGTAGTGCTGTTGCCCTGGCCCTGTCTCTGCCTCTCTGTGCTGCCTGCTCCTGATCCCCTGGTGTCTGGTTGGTAATAAATTGTATCATTCTACCGCGATTATTGAAATCTCAGTTGTTTTTATGTGTTCGCTGGTCCAACAAGTCCCTTGCTTGCACAACACATCGATACCACAGAACAGAGGCAGGCAACACTTGATGCACACTGGAGGCTCAGCAGCATGGCTGGTTAAACAAAGTCCGCACCACACAAAGAATGAAAAACCAGTGCAAAGTGTTTTGCACGTACGGTACTCTCAACCATACCTACTCTGCTCTGCAGCCACGGGCATTCTCATTCACGGGCTAAGCATTCTCCTCCTCCATCACCAACAGTAACATACCGGTAACACACAACGACACACTACCGGTACGTGCAGCTTGCCCTCCATCCCATCTGCACTCCGTTGACCAACACCCTTCACATACCAGGTTGAACTTTCATCCCCTCGAGGGTCCGTCCGTCAAGGTGGGAAGTAGGTAGGTTTACAAGCATTCCCTGGTTTCAATCAAGCATGGCAGATGGTGGGTGGCGGAGGTGGAGAGGCATGCCTAACGGCTGCACTTGGTCGTGTGACGAGTCATGCCCAAGTGGTGCTGCCTTAGGGCCTGCAGATCCGGTACCTTTACTTGCAGGAAGAGGAGATGACTGGCTTCTATGGAGTACTATTCATGAGGTGCGGTGTACCACTACCGGTACACAAAGTGGGCTTAAGAAACTAATATGTAAGGCGGTGCACTGTCAAAGTGTGGAGCAATGATTAAACTACACTGAAACAGTTACTGTACACCAAACGGTCGCAACACAGCACAGCACAGCACGCCTGACCATGAACGGGCCCCTAGGACACCACTCAGCAGCGGTGGTGGCGTATCAGCAGCATCAGCAGCAGCCATAGAGCAGCGCGAGACGTGAGCGTGCCTGGGAGAGCAGCGCCTCGCACCACCCCACCGAGGAGCCCCCCCCTGCTGCTGCTTGCACCTCGTGCTGTGGCGTGCGTGGTGGGGGAGAGGAGCAAGAGGGGAGGGGCAAGGAGGGGGGTGGGAAGGGTTAGCTGCTAGTGATGAGTAAGGTGCAGGTTGGTGGATGGGGAGGTGGTGGGGAGGTGGTGGGGAGGAGGTGGGGACTGGAGGGGGTGCGCGGTGGGGAGGGGAGGGATAGGTGAGTCATTTGGGAGGGTTGGAGCAGCATATGGGAGAGGAGAGCAGCGGGAAAGGGAAGGACAGAAGGGTTGAAAGACGGGAGACGCGAGCAGGAGCAGACGGCAGGAGACATGCGTGTGCAGAGGGGTTGAGAGGGATGAGCTGTCCGGCCATACCATGCCATTCGTACAGCCCCTCTTCTCCCCCTTCCACTGTCTATTTCCCTCCCAAATAACCCCGCTCTCTCTCGCACCACCCATGCCCACGTCCCCCCTCCCCCTTCCTCTCTATCCCTCCCCCCATGCACTCACCATCAGCCCTGACAGGCCAGCTGTGAGTCGCTGCCTGTCTGCCGCCCCCAGCAGCAGCAGCGGGGGCTCCAACGGGTCCCACAGCACCGCCACACACACCACGCCTGCCCTTGCTTGCACCCCGGCTCCTGTGCCTTCTGTCTCCGCGCCCTCTGCCCCTGCGCCGTGCTCTTGCTGCTCGGTCGGCAGGAGGAGGTGGAGGAAGGGCGCGAGCAGGAAAGGGTGCAGGGCGAGCAGGCGCAGCGCTGGCACCAGCCAGGGGCACGCGCGCAGCAGAGATGTTCTCGTGGGCGAGGGTGAAGTGGGGGGTGAGGCGGAGAGCGTAGAAAGATGCTCCTGTAACGGGGTGCAGGTGAGGAAACAAGGTTAGGAGAAAGTGGGTCAGGGCGAGCAGGCGCAGGGAGGGCACCACCCAGAAGCACACGCGCAGCATAGATTGCCCCGTGGGCGGGATGGGGTGGGGGAGGTGGAGAGCATGGATAGATGCTCCTGTACGGGGTTGCGGGTGAGGAAACAAGGTTAGGAGAAAGTGGGTGAGGGCGAGCAGGCGCAGTCCAGGTACCAGCCAGGGGCACGCACGCAGCCGACGTCCTCGTGGGCACAGGCGAGGGGGAGAAAGTGGAGAGATGCTCCTGTAAGGGGGTGGGGCGGGGTAACGGAGGTAGAGGGATAAGAGTTGGGGAAACGAGGTTGGGGAAGGGGTGCAGGGCGAGCAGGCGCAGAGTGGGGCCGAGCGAGGGGCGCGCGCACAGCAGACAAGCCCTCGTGGGCGCCAGTGAGGGGGGGGGCGGTGGAGAGGGCAGGCGCGAGGGGAGCGGGCGAGGGGTAGAGAGTGGAAAGGTGCTCATGTAAGGGGGGGGGGGGCGGGGTGACGGGGATAGAGGGATAATTTGTCTAAACGTTGCAACAGCGCATGCATGCATGTGAAGTGAATCAGATGGATACCCACAACCATTTCACATGGGGCACGGCACAGACCATCAACCTGTAACCACTGAGAGCAGAATTGCATGAGGCACGAGACAAACCACATGAGTTATCACCAGCGAGCTCACCTGAAGCAGGCGGCAGCAGAAGCGAGCAAGGCTGGCTGGCAGCAGCGCTGACAGGCACGGCGGCACACACGTGGTCGCCTGGCGTGGCGTTGACCCGTGTGCTTGTGACGGCGCACATGCCAATGGTGATGCTGATGCTGATGGTGATGGTAATGGCCGTGCCCTTTCTTCACACTCCTCAATGCTGTCTGCTGCTGCTGTGGCTGAGATTGACTCGTCTGCAGCCTCTACTGTCGCTGCAGCCTTCCTTTTGTCTCCTTCTATACTCCCTCCTATCTCTCCCCCACCTCCTCCCTCCGCCCCACCGTGCATGGTTCCGAGCGGGGCGGGAAAGGGGTGCAGGTGGGCGCGGCGGGAGCAGGCAGCGACGGCACGGAAGATGCCGTAGAGGCATGGCGGGGAGGTGGAGGAGTCGCTCTGTGGGGGGGGGGAAGGTGGAGAGGGAGGGAAATGGGGAAAAGAGGGGGGAGAAAGAGACTATGTGGACGAAGCAGTGATGGCACGGAAGGTGCCGTACAGGCATGGCGCGGAGGTGGAGGGGTCGCTCTGTGGGGGGCACAAGGCGTGGGAGGGAGGGAAAAGGGGGGGACGAGGGAGAATTGCGGGAGGGGGCGGAATGAGGGGAGGGGAGGATGGGGATGGGGATGGAATCAATGTGAGTGGAGAGTAGGAGATAGGGTTTGGGACAGCGAAACGGTGAAGCCTCTTCAAACCTGGTGGACGGGTCACTTTGGAATGGCGTTGGGAGGGAAAGAGAAGCGCAGGGGCGTGCAGAAGGGGGGAGAGAGAGCGACAGGGCCCCACGTTGGAATGACTGCAGCAGTGCAATGGGCCGGCTCACAGTGGCGGAGCACATGAGCACAGGAGGAAGTGCTCGCTGGACGGGCGGTGGAGGGGCGGTGGAGGGGCAAGGGAAGGCAAGGCATGGGAAGGGGCATGCAGTGACAGGCACAGCAGACGCGTGCACGTGGAAGCAGCAGCCCCGCACCCAGCACGGCACACGGCGGCAGCACTCACCAGGGCGGGTAGCAAGCAAGCACTCACGAGGGCAGCAGCCAGCGGCTGTGAGACGAGGTCCAACACTGCTGCTCCGTCCATCAACGCCCCTGCCTGGCCCCCCACGCCCCCTCCACCCCCCACACTGCCCCCCACCGCGCCCCCCACTCCAACCCCCACGGGCACGTGCACGAGAGCGGCACACACCGCCCCCACTGCCGGCTCCCGCTCCCATATCTCGCCACACAACCCCGAAGAATCTTCCAGGAACCGTCTCGACCCCGCTGACTTGCTCTGAGGAAGATCCGACAGTGGAGAGCTCTTCAATTCCCCCTTGGGCTCCGCCTGACCCGCGTGGGTGTGGCTGTGCCACTGGTGGTGCTGCCTCTCCGCCTCCTCGTGCCGCCTCACTCGCCCTTGGAACGCGGCGGTGATGTCGGGGTGGGAGTGGGTGCGAGTGCGGGAGAGCAGCAGCGAGACGAGGAAGCCAAGGTACTCTGGCAAGCCCACTGCACCCCTCCTGTGCGCCGCCCCCACCACCTCCACTGCCCTCCCCGCCAACCACCGCATGCCACGTGGCAGCAGCAGTGCTGCTGCTGCTGCTTCAGACGCGTCCTGCTCCATGCCTTGCCCCTTGTGCTGCTGCTGCTCTTGCTGGGTTTGTGACTCCGACAAGTGTGAGTGTAACGAGTGGGAGGCGATGCAGCAGACGGCGAGGGACTGCAGGAGGGGGAGGGAGAGGCGGGGGAAGCAGAGCAGCAGGTCCAGCGAGAGCGCCTGCAGGGGCGCTGGCAGCAGCAGGAACGGCCCCACCACCAGCCGATGCCCCGCTGCTGCCTCCTCCGCCGCCGCTGTTTCGACTGCTGGCGCTGCTGCTGCGGGTGATGGGGCTGGTGTGGCTGGTGCGGCAGGGCGAGCAGCAATGGAGGCGGCAAAGAAGGGCACGAGCAGCGGCTGCACACTGCTGATGTGCTCCGATAGCGACGACGAGGAGGGTGGGGCGGAGGAGGAGGGGGAGGGCGGTGATTGTGGAGAGATGGAGGCGATGCGGAAGAAGAGGCGCAGCACCGTCTGGTGAGAGGGGGAAGGGAGAAGGGGAGTTGGGGGGGGCAGGGAGAGGGAGGGATGGTATGGGGTTTGGTATGGTGTTGAGTGAAAGGTGCAACAACAGGCACCAGAAAGCAGTCAACGGAGACACTTTTACATTGCCAGTTGGTGCTGCAGTAATAACCCTGCCAGCGACGTGGCACTCACCAGTGACGTGGCACTTACCAGTGACGTGGCACTTACCAGTGACGTGGCAGGATGGGAGGCCCCGATGTCCCAGAGCAGTCTGGGAAGAGCTGTCAGCCAATCAGCAACCACCTTCTCCGGCAATCCTTCCGCCCCCCTCGCCCCTCCTCGCCTCCCTTCCTTTCTCTTCGCCTTCTTCCCCTCTCCCCCCTCCTCGCTCCCTTCCCCACCCTTCCCCCCTAAGCCCCCCTCCCCCCCCACCGCCTGTTGCTGCAGCAGCCCAAACATCACATCCAGGCAGGCAGCCCGGGTGGCGCTGCGGGCGGGCGACACGGAGAAGAGACGAGAGAAGCCGCCCAGCAGCGAGGCGCAGCGGGCGGCCGAGGGGGCGTAATGGAGGAGGGTCGGCAGGAGAGGGAGGAGGCGGCGGATAAGGGACTCGCTGACGTGGCGTGATAGGATTGGCGCAGCGGTGGGAGCAGGAAGCAGCTGCAAGGGGAAGGAAAGGATAGGGGGAAGATGCAGAGAGAGGAAAGGGATGGGCTTTGAGGCGAGAGAGAAGCGGGGAGGGGGAAGGACAGGGCGAAGAGAACCATTTGCAGCCCTGCCCACCTCGAATCGCCCGGTGCTCTGTGCGAATGCATTCTGGATATTCACATCCTCACCGCGCCCCACCCCTCACCCAGCAACACCATGCAATGCCTCTCACCTTGCCCTCCATCGCGCCTTCCATGAACTCATACAGCCGCCCCACCCACGCCTCCTCCCTCGCCTCCTCCCTCTTCGCCTCCTCCTCCTCCTCCTCCTCCTCCTCCTCCTCCTCCTCCTCCTCCTCCTCCTCCTCCTCCTCCTCCTCCTCCTCCTCCTCCTCCTCATTCTCCCCCTCTTCCCCCCCTTCCTCCCCACCCTCCTCTGCTTCCTCGACATCGCCCCTATCTCCTCTCCTCCGCTCGCCCTCACGTTCACCATTCTTCCTTTTGCTTCTCTCGCTCCCGCTTCCCCTCCCCCCTCCCCCCCCCTCCCCTCGTCCCCCGCTCATCCGAATCACAAATCTGCTCCCTTCCAGTAACTTCCTCCGCGCGTCTCCCCTCACCGCTCCCCTCCCTGTCCCCCTTTCCCCCCGCACATCCCCTCCGCCAGCCCCCAGCGTCCCCTTTCCCCCCTCCCCTTGCACACCCCTCCGCCTCTTCCCCATACCCCTCCCACCAGCACCAGCTGCACCGGACCCATCAGCAGCAGCAGCAGCAGCAGCAGCGGCAGCGGAGGCAGGGAGAAAGAGAGAGAGGCATTCAGCGAGCAGCACGTTGAGCAGCGCCAGCTGTTCGCCCACCTCCCTCTGCTGCCCTCCTCCTGCTGCTGCTGCTGCCCCACCGGCGGTACCGCTGCTGCCTTTGGTGCCCTTGGCACGACCAGCAGCGAGGCCAGCAGGGGCGTGCAGAGGGAAGGCCGTGCCCAGCTTGTGCAGCACCCGTGACAGCGCGTCCCCGTACCCGCCCTGCTGCTGCTGCTGCTGCTGCTGCTGGTGCTGGTGATTCTGATGTTGGTGCGGCTGGGATTGTTGCTGCTGAGCTGGCTGTGCTGCGCCTGCAGCAGCTTCAGGCATGTGCGGAAAGATGGAGGAAAATGACTGGCACCCGGCAGAGTTGGTAGGCGTGAATCCCGAGAGCAGGGGCGAAGGGGAGGAGGGGAAGGAGGAGTTGGAAGGGGCTGAGGAAGAGAGGAGGGCCGCGGGGGAGGGGGGGTGGAGGGAGAGGAGGGAGTGGAGGGCGGAGAGGGCGGAGTGCAGGCAGGCGAGAGCGGGCAGGTGGGGGGAAGGCGCGGAGACAAGGGGAAGGCACTCTGTGACCGCTGCAAGCACAGGCGGGATGAGCGCTGCTGCTATGCCTGCTGGGCGGCTGAGCCCCTCCATACCCCCCTCTGCTGCTGCCATGCCTGTTGCTGCTGCTGCTTGCTGCCCTCCCGGCCCTGTCGCTGCTTTTGTCTCTTTCGAAGCGGACAGAGCCTGTCCGGTACTGTGGAGCGAGGGTGAGAGAGAGGGGAGGTGGGCGGAGGAGGAGGAGGGGGAGGGAGGGGGGAGGGCGGAGCGGTACGCGTGGAGGGCTGTGATTGGCCCGTCTGATTCCCGTGACCAGAGCACATGGTAACCAGACTGGTTACCCCCAGGGGGGAGGGCGGAGAGGAGAGGGGCGCGCTGCAGGCGCACGCCCAGGCGCCAGCTGTACTCCCCTGGGGGCGCGCAGGCGGAGGGGGGGGAGGGGGCGGAGGCGGAGGGGGAAGGGGGGGATGTGGCGGAGAGAGTGGGGAGTGGGTGCGTGAAGGGGGAGGTGGGCAGAGGGAGCGCGGAGCCAGGCGGTGTGAGGGAGGGCGAGGAGGTGAAGGAGGGGGATGGGACGGTGGGGGAGGAGGCGGAGGGGGAGGATGAGGGGGAGGAGTGGGGGAAGGCGGTGGAGAGGAAGGAGGTGAGGGCGGAGAGCGTGGTGGCGAGGGAGGGGAAGGAGCGCGCAGAGGGCGACGCGAGGGCGAGCATGTCACTGAAATGTGCCACCACCTGACGATGGGGGGGAAGGTGAGGGGAGGCAAGGGGATGACACGGATGGTGGTGCGAGGAGAAGACTCGTAAGGAGGAAGAAATAACGATGGGCCGGTGAGTATGTGGAACGGTGTCAAATGGTTACAAGGCTTGAAGTCAAGTCAACCGTGCATGCATGAGGTGGGGATGCAAAGGAGAGGAGGGGAGGGTGGGGAGGGAGAGGAGGGAAGGGGTGGGGAGGGGAGGGCTGAGAGTACCTGGGCGGTGGAGGAGGCGCGGAAGAGCGAGGGGTAGTGGGCGAGCAGCGCTGAGAGGAATGGCAGCGCGGCATGGCGGATGTCCGGCGCCACGTGGGTCATGGCACAGCCCACGTGGCCCATCAGCAGCGTGAAGAATGGCGCCATGCGCTCCTGGGAGGGGGGAGTTAGTGGAGGGGGGAGGGCAGGGAGAAGAACGAAAGAGGTGTGCAGCGCACCATGCATTGTGCACATTGGGTGGTGAGGATGAGCTGAAGCGCGAATTCTCTGTGGCACGGTGCCAACAGCCGTTTGGTTCATGGCTGGCAGCACCACCCATCTTCCTTCCTCTCCACCTCCTCTCCTTCCTCTCCACCTCCTCTCCTTCCTCTCCACCTCCTCTCCTTCCTCTCCACCTCCTCTCCTTCCTCTCCACCTCCTCTCCTTCCTCTCCACCTCCTCTCCTTCCTCTCCACCTCCTCTCCTTCCTCTCCACCTCCTCTCCTTCCTCTCCACCTCCTCTCCTTCCTCTCCACCTCCTCTCCTTCCTCTCCACCTCCTCTCCTTCCTCTCCACCTCCTCTCCTTCCTCCTCCTAGATTCTCCTTTTGCGTTTCTCTCCCGTCCTGTTACTCCTCTCCTCTCTACTCACCCCACCCTATCCCTAGTACCTTCCTACCCCCTCTCCTTTCAAGTCCCATCCCCCACATACCTATGCCCCACTCCCCCATCCATCCCAACCCCGTCACATTAACCCCCCTTCGCTCCGCACCACAACCCAGGCTGCATGCAGCGAACCGCACCTCGGGCTGCATGGTTGGGAAGAGCACGGAACGCATCAGCAGCAGGAGGGAGTCTCTCGTCTTATTGTCCACGTCAGCAATGCGTGGCGCCAGCTTGGCGAGGATGGTGCCAGCATGGCGCCTCAGCTCGTCGGGATTGGCTGCCAGCAGTTCGCGTAGGCGAACGAGCGACTCTGATTGGCCGGCAGAGCGAGGGAGAGGAGAGGAGAGGAAAGGAGAGAAGAGGAGAGGAGAGGAGAGGAGAGAAGAGGAGAGGAGAGGAGAGGAGAGGAGAGGAGAGGAGAGGAGAGAAGAAGAGAGGAGAGGAGAGGAGAGGAGAGGAGAGGAGAGGAGAGGAGAGAAGAAGAGAGGAGAGGAGAGGTGGGGTGAGGAGAGAAGAAGAGAGGTGTGAGTGGAGGGCAGGAGATTATCGATGGTGCGGCGTGGTAGCATGCATGCATGCACAAGCAAGTGAACTGAACACCCCTGCCATGCCCTCCCATGCTCCCTGCCTGCCCTGACAAGCCTCATCCTGCCGAGCCTACCTTGCCGAACCTTGTCGCTGTAGTGGCCGGACTGCACGAGCAGCTCCGGCAGCGTGTGGCCCCTCTGTGACACCGCCGCCTGCGACCGGTCGTCCAGCAGCTTCTGCCCCGGCAGCACGATCGCTGGGGAAGGGGGGGACGGGGGAGGTGGGGAAGGGGAGTGGGGGGAAAGGGGAGTGGGGGGGAAGGGGAGTGGGGGGGAAGGGGAGTGGGGGGGAAGGGGAGTGGGGGGGAAGGGGAGTGGGGGGGAAGGGGAGTGGGGGGAAGGGGAGTGGGGGGGAAGGGGAGTGGGGGGGAAGGGGAGTGGGGGGAAGGGGAGTGGGGGGGAAGGGGTAACGGTGGGCGGGGGTTGTGGGGGGGTGGCTGTTGAGTGGACTCATGAGTCACCGCCGCCTGCGACCGATCGTCTAGCAGCTTCTGGCCCGGTAGCACGATGGCTGAAAGGAGGGGGGTTGGGGGTCGGGACGGGGGGGGTTGGGGGGGGTGGAGGATGGAGGGAGGCACCTCAAACGCCGATCGGCGGGATTTTGATGTGCGAATGGCGATTTGGAACGGGAGAGAAGGGGAAACTGGATTGCTGGATCAACAAGAAGCGGGCAGCGGGAAGGGCGCGCCGAGAGGAATGAGAAGGGGAGAACGAGCAGTCACGGAGGGAGGGGGGGAGTGGGAGCGAGGGAGAGGGGGCGTCACTGTGTTGACTCTCGGCTCACTCACTCTTGGCCTTGACGGTGGTCTTGGTCTCGTTGGACGGCGGCGGTAGCTTGCGCCCCACCTTGCTGCGCACTTTCTGCCATGCGCGCGCGCAAGGAGTCGCGCGCGGAGGGATCGAGGAAGAGGGGCGGAGGGGGAGAGGAAGGGGGGAGAGGAAGAGGGGCCGGGAAAGAGGGAGTAAGAAGGTGGGAGTACGAGAAGCAAGGGGCAGCACACGGCCGTGCGCGTGTTGATGCAGCCGCGGAGCAACCAAAAGGCAATGCGCGGGCAGCGCAGAGCGAATGCACGGGCGGTCGGATCAAGGCGGGGTGAGACGAGGCTATAAACGGATCGCCAACTGTAGCGGCAGCGGACGAGGCGGTCTAGGCCGGTGCAGGCAGGTGGAGAGACGCTGTGTGGCGACAATCAATGTGGCGAAGCGACATGTAACGTGGCGAGCGCACGGTGCGGCGAGACGGTAGTGCGCAGTGCGCGTAAGCGCGACACCCGCTGGACGGAGATACGCGGATGTGGCGCACGCAGAGCGAAGGACGCGAGGCGCCACACCCGCGAGGGACGACGAGGCCTTCCGCGACGAAATGCAGGGTACGACGAGGCGCTAACGGCCCTACACGCGATCCCTAAGGACGGATTAATCGAACAGGCGGCCCTTATGACCGACCTAAGGATTGACCGTAACGATCATACCGGGTAACTCTAACGGCCGATCGTACCTTGAAATCCACGCCCTTGTGCTTCAACCGCACCGCCTTCTGATTGCCCATGGCTCCCTCGCAGTGCGGTACGATCAACGTCCAACCGAGATTCTCAACGGCAAGCTAAAAAATGCAAATGCACGGAAAAGGTGGAAGGATCTGACACGATTGGAATAATCAGTGAACCGACAGACCCAGTGGCACCCTTTTCGGTTGGACGTAATGTTGGGGTACAGGGGGGAGGGGAGGAGTGCTTGCCTTGCGCCTGACAAAGTACGAGGGATGCCAATCATGCTCACAACATCCTCCTGCTCCTGCTGGTGGCACATAAACCTCCGTAGAAACCCGAACCCGAACCCTGGATGGTGGAAGGAAAATGACAAGGACCATTTGGCGCTATACGTGGCCGCGTTACTGCCATTATGCAACCGACTCGTTTGGAGGATCTTGTCTTATCGCATATGTTGGTGGCTTTTCTATTATACCACTCACAAGAGAGCTTCAAATTGTTCATCCAATTTTTTTTCGTGGTTGGATAAAACGTATAGTCTAAATCGACATATAGTCTTACCAACCTGTCCTTTATTCAACAAATTATGGCATATTTAAAAGAAGGTAGACAAATGCAGCTACGATAACTATGCATTCCATATAAATTCTTGGAGTATGTATTTCAGAATGCATTTCCAAAAAATAAGGGGAAAAAAATCACTTGCTTCTTTTTTATAGAACCTCTCAGTTTTCTGACGCCCTCTCTCGAAAAGAATGCGTGCCTATCCTATTGTGCATCTCTCAGAGTGCACCTTCCAGAACTCAATTATTAAAGAAAAAAAAGGGGGGGGATGAGAGGATTGGGGGTATGCGAGGAGTGGGGGTTAGGTATGAGGGAGGGGAGTGGGGAGTACGAGAGTGGGGGTTATGAGAGGAATCGTGGGTATGAGAGGAATCGTGGGTATGAGAGGAATCGTGGGTATGAGAGGAATCGTGGGTATGAGAGGAATCGTGGGTATGAGAGGAATCATGGGTATGAGAGGAATCGTGGGTATGAGAGGAATCGTGGGTATGAGAGGAATCGTGGGTATGAGAGGAATCGTGGGTATGAGAGGAATCGTGGGTATGAGAGGAATCGTGGGTATGAGAGGAGAAAGGAGTGGGGGCATGAGGGAAGTGGGAGGTATGAGACGAGTGGGGGATACGAGAGGGGCGAGGTGTACGAGAGGAAGGGGGGTATGAAGGGAATGGGGGAAGATGGTGTGGGAGAATGAAAGGAGTTGGAGGTTTGAGAGGAATGGGGGGTATGAGAGGAGAGTGGGGGGTATGAGGGGACTGGAGGGTGTGAGATGTGTGGGGGATATGAGAGGAGAGGGGGGTATGAGAGGAGTGGGGGGAATGAGAGAATGGAGTTTAGGTTATGAAAACAGTGAGGGGGTGGGGATTCTGAGAGGAAAAGGGGGTATGAGAGGTTGTGGGAGGTATGAGAAGATTGGGGGCATGAGAAGACTGGTGGGAATGAGATGAGTGGGGGGCATTGGAGGAGTAAGGGAAGAGAAGTGGGGGGTATGAGAGGAATAGGGGAATGAAAGGAGTGGGGATTATGAGAGGATTGGGGTGTATGAGGGGAGTGGGGGGTGTGAGAGGAGTGGGGAGCATGAGAGAATTAAGAAAGAGGTATTATAGGAGTAGAGGGTATGGGAGGATTGGGGGTTATGAGAGGAGTGGGGGGTATGATAGGGAAGGAATATGGGGTCTGAGAGGAATGCGGAGTATAAGATGAGAGGGGGATGTGAGGAGTGGGGGTTATGAGAGAAGTGGGTTGTATGAGAGGAGTGTGGGGTGTTAGAAGAGTGGAGGGTATAGAAGAGTGGGGTGCATGAATGGACTGGGGGAAATGGGAGGAGTGGAAAGAATGAGAGAATTGGGTGGTATAATAGGAGTGGGGGGTATGAGAGGAGTGAGGTATGAGAGGAGTGAAGTATGAGAGGAGTGAAGTATGAAAGGAGTGGAGGGTATATGAGGAGGGATGGGGAGAATGACAGGAGTGGAATGTATCGGAAGAGTGGGAGATATGTGGGAATTGGAGGGTATGAGGAGTGAGGGGTATGAGAGGAGTGTGAGTTATGAGAGGAATGGTGGGTATCTGAAAATTAGGGGGTAGGAGAGCAGCGGTGAGAATGGGAGGAGTGCAGGATATAAGAGCAACAGGGTGTATGGGTGGAATGGGGGTTATGAGATGAGTGTGGGGTATGAGAGGAGTGGAGGGAATGAGAGGAATGAATGAGAGGAGTGGGGGAATGGCAGGAGTTGGGGGTACGATTGGAACGGGGGATTTGGGAGTGAGGAGTTGGGACGAATTGGGGTATGATAGGAGCGTGGGGTATGATAGGAGCGGTGTGTATGAGAGAATGGTGGTTTGCGGAGTGGGGTGCCCTTGAGCATGCAGAGGGGTGACCAGCCTTGACTTGACACGGCTGAGAGTGGCCAACCAAGGCTTCGAACTGGATGAGGTGAATGCTGGCTGTGCTGCTGGGAAAGGGAAACCAGAGGTGACAAAAATCAGGAAGATAATATAGAACCAGAGGTTCGGAATGATAGGAAGGCAAAAGGGAGGGGGGAACATTAGACAGAAATGGAGTACCCCCAATTCTGGGATATATACACTCTGGTGTGTTGAATCAGCCGGGTGCGTTTAAAGCATGTTCTACATCTTACAAGCACCCTCCATTCTCCGTCAACGATTTTTTTTTTTATACCCCTACCTCAGGTGGGAGGATGATTGACAATTCTGTGGTTGCGGCTGGCTTATCCTTTGTCCTGCATTCGCGATACTTGCGCAGACGTCGGATTGGGCACCAAGTTTCTACCGTACTCTTGCAAAACCCATCAATGTGGCGCTGCTGCGATGAGTCAGGGGAAACCGCGGGAATGAGACATGTGTATCTTGAGAGTTTTTCTGGGTCAACATAACCAATGCCAGAAAATGTAACATTCGGACCCAACCCCCACCTGGTCTCGATACGTCGAACCAGCTGAGAGGGGGATTTGGGGGGAAATCTGATTGGTTGAGAATACAGGGAGAAGCGAGACTTGCGGGGAATTGTGGGTTGATTGGGAAACCAACCAATCGAAATTGCTAATGAATTGAACCCACGTAATTGGTTCAGGTGGGATCAAGCACAACCCACGTAAGTGCAACTCAGACCTAATTCGACCAATCAGAACACAGCCCCAGAAGTGAGTCGACAACATTTCCGCCGCTCACTTCAAACACAACCAATAAACATCAAACACAGGTTTGTGATTGCTGTGCATTTCCTATCCTTGCTATCTAAAATATAATTGGTTGAGAACCTTGTTTGTTGCCACATGGGCAAGGCCCAAGGGAGTGCACCCCTCCTTGCCATGGGGAAGGTGGCTGCACCCCAAGGGGGTCTACGGAAGGGGTCTGAAGCCTCTGGGCTCATTCTTCATTTCCTACTCCCAACTAATCAATTGGGAAATAGGATCGTCTTCTCTTCAACTCACCCTCCAAGATTTGTTACTGCATTTTTCCAGCAACTCTCAGACTTAGTCATTTCCAGGAGCTGTTACTCTCTGGTTGTACTAGAAGCTATTAATATATGGGTAAATGCCCTTTTTCTTAGTAGATCCGTTACATTGGTAATCAGAGCTATTAGTAGATCCTCGCCTTGTGGGCATCTAAGAGGATTTTCTTTTTCTTTTTCTTGGAGGAGTTGTGATTTTCATTGTAATCTCCATATTATTAAATTTTGAAGACTACAAGCTACTCAAGCGCAGGTCTTCAAGATTTGGAAGCTTCTCCAAGAGTTCTACTCCCTCCCTCCCTCCCTGCTGGTGGAACCATTAGAGCTACTGTGAAGAAGTTGCAACCTGTGTGGATTAACATTCTCTGTTGAAGACAATCACTTTGTGATTGTTCTTGCCTTATCCACTGCGGTGGTAAGGATATTTTGCAACAGAGGTGTTTTTCACATTGCTGTGGTTGTAAGATCTATTGAAGAAATTTCTCATTAGGAGAAAATCTTGGTTATTCACTGCGGTGATAACAATTTGTAGTAGATCTGTAACTCTTTTATTTTTTTATAATACAGTGACTTTACTCTCAATGGCTTCCACCAACTCCAATGCTGGTGGTGTTGAAGGCAACAACTCCCATGCTGAAAAAGAACCTGCTGTTGACCTGAACACCATGGATGAGGAAATGGCTGAAAAAGAACCTGCTGTTGACTCCCCTGCAAGGAACCCTTCAGCTGCTGAAAATTCCAAGGAGCAGGAAGGGGAGTCTCAGGAGGATGACATTGAGTTGGAAGGGGAGGAGGACATCCTGCATGCTGAAATTGCTAAGTTGCAGGATCATGCTGCTGAGCAGGATACGCGCATCCAGAAGCAACAGTCACTCATTACCAACCTTAAGAGGGAGGTCTCTGACCACGATGACAAAATCAAGTACCTGGAAGTTGAGCTTAAAAACATGAAGCATGATGCGCGCGAGCACGTTCATCAGCTGGCGAGGCAGACCTCAAAGATCAACGAGCTGCGCGAGGCCTTCAGTGCCCTCCAAAGGGAGACCATGTATCGCCCTGCACCACGAGCGGATCCGCCTGCCAACTCTGCTAGCGGTCACACCAACCCTTCTCGCTCTGGTGGTGCAGTGGGTGACCCTGGTCCTTCTACGCAGCGCGCTGCTGAGCCGAGCACACAGGCTTTTGGCTCTCTGCCAATCACCCTGCCGCCATTCATCCATGGCAAGACGGACGTGGCTGCATGGTTGTCGATGATGACCGACCTGTTCAAGGCGCACAAGGTCCAAGACGACGCTCGCGTCGTCGCTGCCACCACCGTGCTGGACCAGAATGCACAGCGAGTGGTGTATGGCAGCATGATCCAGGCTGAGGCGGATAGGAAGCCGTTTGGGTGGGAGGAATTTGCTTCTGCACTCAAGCAAGCTTTCCAGGTCCAGCCGACCCAGCTGGAGGTGCGCAGTCGCCTTGAGAAGCTGCAGTGCAGGAACCGCACAGTGCAGCAGTACGCCGTGGAGTTCGAGGAGATCTGGGTGCTCCAGAAACCGGCGGAACGTATGAGCGAAGGCGAAAAGATCCATCTGTTCTTCAGGGGGCTGCCTGAGCACCTCAAGAACATGCATATGACGGATGGGGCTGGGGAGGCATGGAGGTCCTATGATCACGTGAAGCGCGTGGTGGGGACCACTGATAAGCACTTCCGTGCTTATGCCAAAACTACTACCCAGCCGCAGCAAGCCTCAAGGCCGTCTTCTAGCACTGCGGGTCCAAGTGGAAGGCGGCAGGGAACGCCTTGGAAGGGCGGGAACCACAAGAGGCCCTTCCAGCAGGGACAGCAGGCTGACCACAAGGCCAAGAAGGTCAACGAGGGTGGACCAAGCAATGTCCAGAGCTCCTTCAAGTGCGACAAGCCTGGACACAAGGGCTACGAGTGCCGCCACCGCAAGTCGGTGAAGTACTCTGGCAAGGCTAAGACGGACAACAGGCGCAATGACGGCAGTGGTCCCTCGGGCAGCCAGCGGGATTTTGCAAAGCCCAACTAGGGGGTGGGTACCTAGCGGGCATAGTAGATCGAGAGGATGAGGCAGTGGTCCTGCGGGATGAGGAGTTGTTGAAACTCGAATGCCTTGTTGATTGCAAAATTGCATGTGTGCATGCATTTTCTTTTAATGAACGTTCTTTGTTTGCCTCTCGATTTCACCCACTGGAAAATATCACAGTTGAATCACTACGAGATAAATTCTCAATTATATTTTGTGATCACCAAAATTTGCCTTGGATAATGGACGTGGTGGGTCGTTGCACCCAAGCGCACCCTCTAACTGCGGTTGGAATGGTAACGCGCACAGTTCGAGGTAAATTGTTTCGAGCACTTCAAGGATGGAGCGTGTTAGCGCAGTGGGACAAGGGACACCATGTGTGGTGGACACAAACTCGTTCGTTTGGACGCAGCAAGCACGGCATTAAGACATACTATTTGCCTCCCACTGATATTACAGCATGTCCTATTCGACCCAAACATCAGCAAAACCTTTTGTTTTCGGGTCGCGTAAATGGGAGCAGTGCCTCGATCCTGGTTGATACAGGAGCAACTGCGTCATTGATCGATGAGAAGTGGATGGGATATTTGAATGTTCCTGTTCAAGGACCATCTTGTTCTATGGATGACAGGATCATTCCATGCAGAGGACATGCGTTGGTCAACCTGGAAATCCAAGGATATCAGGAGACCATCAGCGTTTTTGTCCTACCCCTCCTAGCAGGCGTAGACATTGTCTTGGGAATGGATTGGCTGCGGCCTAATGAGGTGATATTAAGCTTCCAAGATAACACGCTTTCATTCACAAAGAATGGGACGGCGTTTCAATGGCAAGTCCCAAAGCGCCATGCACTGGACAACAAACCTCAAAACCTGGCTCTTGATGTGCGCTTTGCGTCGGCTCTCCAATTCAAAGAGCATGTCAAGGGAGCCGATACACTTTTTGTTGTACAGCTAGACTCTGAACCAACCCCTTCACAGATTATTGAGGACTTCCCACCTCAAATGAAGGCGTTGGCAGAGGAATATTCCAAAGTTTTCGAACCAATTCCGGACGGGTTACCTCCCGACCGTGCAGTTGGCCACACCATCCCAGTGGAACCAGGAAAGGCACCACCGTTTAGACCTCTGTATCGCCTCAGTCCAGCCGAGTATGAGGAGGCTAAACAACAAATTGAGGAATACCTCAGGAAGGGATGGATAGAACCCAACGCGTCCCCATATGGAGCACCTATCTTGTTTGTTCACAAGAAGGGAGGTGGACTGCGCATGTGCGTCGTTTATAGAGCCCTGAATAAAATTACGATCAAAAATAGATATCCACTTCCGCGGATAGAAGATCTATTTGATCGACTACAGGGTGCGCAATGGTTCAGTGCACTGGATTTGGCGCAAGGCTATCACCAATTGCGTATAACAGAGGACGATGTTCCAAAAACGGCTTTGCGTTCGCCGTTCGGCCATTTTCAGTGGCGTGTGTTAAGTTTTGGCTTGACCAACGCTCTGGCATCTTTCCAGAGGGTGATGAACGATGTGTTTCGTGATGCGATTGGCCAGTTCATTTTGGTGTACCTCGATGACATCCTGGTATACTCAAAGACTGAAGACGAGTATACGGAACATCTGAAATGGGTCCTCGGAAAATTACGCGAGCATAAATACTACGAGCGTTTGTGGAAATGCCATTTTTACAAACGTGAGCTGGAGTATTTGGGGCACGTAGTGGGGCACAACGGTCTGAAAGTGGACCCCAAGAAGGTAGCAGCTGTCCAGGAGTGGCCCGTCCCACGCGACGTTGACCAAGTTCGATCATTCTTGGGCATGGCGAATTATTTTCGTCGCTTCTTGGAAAATTATTCCACGATAGTCGCTCCCCTCACGGCATTGACCCGGAAAGGGTGTGCATGGGAGTGGACTCCATAGTGCCAAAAGGCCTTCGAAGAGGTCAAGCATAAATTAACCAACGCACCAGTTTTGGTGTTGCCAAACCCACAAAAACCATATGAGGTGGTTACGGACGCCTCAACGGTGGGACTTGGTGCAGTACTACTGCAAGAAGGACGCCCTGTGGCATTTGAGAGTAGAAAACTCTCCCCGGCAGAGCAACGCTACACGACAACCGAACAAGAGTTGTTGGCTGTCGTGCATGCGCTAAGAACATGGCGATGTTACTTGGAAGGGGTAGAGTTCGTGGTCACCACTGACCATAGTCCGAACACATACTTTTCTACCCAAGCTACCCTCACTCGCCGTCAGGCCCGTTGGGCTGAACTCCTTAGTGGGTTCAGTTTCGACATTCGTTATCGTGCAGGTTCCACGAACCTGGCTGACCCCCTCAGCAGACAGCCGATAGGGGCAGCAACTGGGCTTGACGATACCGAACATGCGGCTGTTTTTGCTGCCTGTTTTGGCATACTAGCTGCGGCGAAAGTGAGCGAGATCGCGTTCAGTGGTTTTCTGAAACGAATTCGTACATGATATCATATTGATTCCTAGTTCCAGAACCCACAAAACACAAGACATTTGACATGGGAGCACGATCTTTGGTGGCGAACAAAAGAGATTGCGGTACCTCAGGTAGGCAATATGCGGAACGATATTTTGGAAGAGGTGCATGCCACTAAATATGGGGGACACTTGGGCATGAATAAGACCCGATGGGCCCTACGAGATGTGTATTGGTGGCCAGGAGACGGTAGTGATGTCCAACATGTTGGAGACAAAGTTTTGTTAAGCACGAAGTATATTCGGCTTAAGATCCCTGGTGCGAAAAAGTTGTTCCCTCGCTGGATTGGGCCCTTCGAGGTAGTTCAACGAGTTGGTGAGGTAGCTTATAAACTCAAGCTACCTGATACCCTTCAGATTCACAATGTCTTCCATGTGTCTCTGTTAAGCAAGTACGTTGCAGAAGGCAAGTACTTACCACCACCAACAATCGTCCTAGGGGAGGAACTGTACTATGAAGTCGAACGAGTGCTTTTGCATCGCGATCGACAACGCGGCCGCAAGACTGTACGAGAGTTCCTCATTAAATGGAAAGGCTATGGGCCTGAACACGACTCATGGGAGCCGGAAGAACATTTGACTGATACTGCGGTTCAGTCTTACATGGAAGACCTGGCTCAGCGAGCACTCCCACAACCAGCGGATGGTGTTGACCCTGGTCGTAATTTGGTTCGTCGTGCTCGTAGCACTCGTCCTAAGAAGCACCCCACGGCAACGAGGACGTTGCCAGCTGGGGGGGGAGGAGTGTAACATTCGGACCCAACCCCCACCTGGTCTCGATACGTCGAACCAGCTGAGAGGGGGATTTGGGGGGAAATCTGATTGGTTGAGAATACAGGGAGAAGCGAGACTTGCGGGGAATTGTGGGTTGATTGGGAAACCAACCAATCGAAATTGCTAATGAATTGAACCCACGTAATTGGTTCAGGTTGGATCAAACACAACCCACGTAAGTGCAACTCAGACCTAATTCGACCAATCAGAACACAGCCCCAGAAGTAAGTCGACAACATTTCCGCCGCTCACTTCAAACACAACCAATAAACATCAAACACAGGTTTGTGATTGCTGTGCATTTCCTATCCTTGCTGTATCTAAAATATAATTGGTTGAGAACCTTGTTTGTTGCCACATGGGCAAGGCCCAAGGGAGTGCACCCCTCCTTGCCATGGGGAAGGTGGCTGCACCCCAAGGGGGTCTAGGGAAGGGGTCTGAAGCCTCTGGGCTCATTCTTCATTTCCTACTCCCAACTAATCAATTGGGAAATAGGATTGTCTTCTCTTCAACTCACCCTCCAAGATTTGTTACTGCATTTTTCCAGCAACTCTCAGACTTAGTCATTTCCAGGAGCTGTTACTCTCTGGTTGTACTAGAAGCTATTAATATATGGGTAAATGCCCTTTTTCTTAGTAGATCCGTAACAGAAAATATGTTCTCCTTAGTAAACCTGAGTGGTTACTGTACAGATAGCAGATTCCCATGTTAATGCCAGAACCTGCGTAGTACTGGTATGGTTGCATGCAGTTTCATAAACTAAATCTCTAAGCTTATGAGTGGCGAAAGAAACATCAGCGCCGGAGCATGCCACAGGATGCAGTATCAATATGCTCGAGCATTCTAAGCTCGGATAAGTCGTCAGGCAGAGCCTCCAGCTGCTCGCATCCATAGATATCAAGCATCCTCAGCCTGCTGAGCTGAGCAAAGCCAGGCGGAAGCAGCCGGATGCTGGTGTGGCTGACGTTCAGCTCATGCAGGCAGGAGAGCTGCGTGAGGGACGCAGGGAGGTGCACGAGGGATGAGCAGCCGGATAGGTCCAGCTTGCGCAGCCTTGAAAATGCCCCAAAGTTGTGCGGAAGAGAAGACAAGTGTTCCGCGTTGATCTTAAAGGATGTGAGGTGGTGGAGAGTGGTGATGGCAGCAGGCAGCTGTTTGAGTCCAGCATTACCCATGGTGGAGATGTTCAGCTGCCGTAGCTCCTGCAAACCCGAGCCCTCACACTCCACCAGCGAGTTCATACTACGGACCCCCGAGGCTGACAAGGTGCGGAGGTGAGGCAGCCGGGTCAGCGCAGTCAGAGACTCTTCTCCTTCTGCCAGCACCAGCTCCAAATGCTTCATACCGGAGAGATGCTCACCAATGGCCTCAATACAGGTAGCATCCACCATGTCCAAGCACAGCTGCCTGAGCCCTGTAAGGCTTGAAACATCAGGCAGAGACTCCACCTGTTGGTTGCCTGAGTACCACAGAGCCTGGAGACTGAGCGGCAGAGCCTGAGGGGCTTCGCTCAGCAACCAAGTGTCCCGCAGCTCCAACTGCGTCAGGCTGGTCAGCCCATCCAACCTCCTGGGAACTGCCACAAGATCGTGACACTCTGTGATCCTCAGCACTCGAAGGCTGCCAAGCGACGCCACACAATCCGGAAGCTCCTCAAGAGAAAGGCAGCGTTGAATGTAGAGCTCCTGCAGGTTTGTCATCTCCCCCATGCCCTCTGGCAGCTCAACAATGTCGTACTCTTCCAGCTCCAGCCTGGTCAGCGAAGCCAGCTGCGTGAATGACGACGGCAGCTGCTGTAGGCCGCACGATTTGATATGAAAGGTGTGGAGATTGATCAGGCCCCCCAAGTCTTCTGGAAGCTCCAGGGACGGTGACCCTTCAAGGATCAGAGACCGGAGGGCTGTGAGGCGACCAAACCCTGCAGGAAGCTCCTCCATCTCGTCGCACAAAACCAGGAAAAACGTCTCCAGAGTTGCAAGTCTGGTGAATGACGCAGGGAGGGTGCGAAGCGGCAGCTGGTCCAGCACCAACGCCTTCAGGGCTGGAAGATCGCCAAAGTTAGCGGGCAGAGAGGATACGCTACAAGCGGATATTGTCAAGGTCTCCAGGCAGGTGAGGGAGGTGAACTGGTTGGTCAGATCGCTGAGGGTTTCGCAGCTCATGATGCTGAGCTCTTGGAAGCGCGGCAACACCTGTCCGATATTGTCTGGAAGCCGCTCCTGGTTGAAGCAATGGTTAAGCTGCAGGCGTTTCAGGAGTCTGTACGGCGATCCGGGAGGGAAAAAGACGCTGAAATGTGCATCGGACAGTCCGAACTTGAGCGAGTGGAGAGTAGGAAGTTGTGCGAGAGAGAAGGCGGGCGGATCTGCTGGGATCATGCGAATCTCGTCAGGCAAGGCGAGGCGGGAGAGGTTGGTGAGTTGTAGGAGGGTGGAGAGCTGGTTGTATTGAAGGGAGGAGGTTTCGATTGAAACTGCAGTGAGAGATAAAAGAGAGCTAAGATTCGGAGACTTTAAGATGAAGGCGGTGGACAAGACGAGGGTGCGCAGATGCTGAAGCTGGAAGAACGAAGCTGGTGGGTTCAGATCTTCCTCGAGACAGCACAGCGACAGCTGCTCTAGTTGAGAGCAGTGACGAAAGAAGTGATCCAAGCCCGATTCCGTTATGACGCGGCCATTCCTAACGTGCCGTCCCGCGTCCGGTTCTACTCCCCCCATCAGCTTCCCCACATGCAGCGCCCTCAACCCAGGGCACGAATCGGCGAGGTCAGCTAGAAACGCGTCGTCCAACGTTTCAACACTAAAGTCCGAAAGGTGCAGATGGGTTAGATGGGGAAAGCATGCGACCGCATTGAGCACATCGCGGTGAGACACGACGCGATTATCCTTCACGAGCAGCGTCGAGACGTGCCTCTGAGCGAGACGCCGCCAGCGACGGCAGATCGACGCAAGAAAAAGGTTGTGAGCGGCATCCGCGGAGGCGGGAGGAGTCGACATGGGAGATCCTGCTCGCTTGCGCCATGGCTCTTCCGGAGTAGAGTGCGGGTACGTAGGCCTGGGCGCTATAGGGTTCCACAGGTGATTATCGCTCTCGTATGTACGGGCTTGACGGTGTGGAAGGCCACAAGATCCTAATTAGGACGTCGTCGAGGAGATCGTGGATGTGAGTTCGCGTAGAGTCCATTCTAGCGGCCGTCACGTGCACCAACGACAGCTCACGTGAAGCTAATAAAACCCTGCCAGAGTGGAATGGCTGGGACCACGGCTTCCAGGAGTGTAAAATAGCTCGATAGGTAATGTTGGTTGAGCACTTTCTGACTAGTAGTACGGCCTCATACAGATGCGACCGTTGCTGCCGTTGAGGACTCGCCCATTCACCTATCGCAAGAGAACGCCGAGGTCGCTGCAGGAGAATGTGTGCACCGCAGCTAGGAAGATGCTTACTTGGCTACCCTGTGCTTTGAGCAGGTGCTATACGGGATTCACATCGCAGCTCGCAGTTCAGTTCCGCATGCTTGCTGCTCGCGATCCAGACGCTCATAAGGCTCTAGGTTGATAGATCGATGGAGTAGTTTTCCCCTGGATTTCTCCTCAGCATTCGTTCCCAGGAATATATGGATCACCAGACGGGGAACGTGCATTTCGTGGCGACGTTGACAAGCGCACGCGAAAGAGACAAGCCCTAGGCATTTTTTTGGATTTGCCCGACAAAAATAGACAGGACGCAGACTGGCGAAAAAAAAGTCTTCATATAGTTATAAACATATGGTTCACGAAATTTCGCCAACATTTCGTGCAGATTTCGCTCGGCGTGAACAGTGACACAGCGACGGTCGCCACAAGAGGGTCGCGAAGAGATGTCGCCAGTAACATGCAGAACAGTTAAGATGAGCAAATTTTGATTCTTACATACAGAATAAACAAGCACAATAAGGCTCTGAAACATGCCAAAATGGAGTCCACAGAATTGGCCAAGTGTTGGGAATTTTTTAGTTGTTTTTTTCTTAATGCTACGATAGATTTATCCATCCTATACCTTACTACAAGGGAGAGAATTGTCAAAAACACATTTAGGGGTGGTTTGTGGCTCCAAATGCCTGCCTTCTGGCGTACCTTTAAACGCTGATAACTGATAGGTTAGTGATGCAAATCATCTTCTGAATAGCTCTAGCATCTTCCTTAGACATCCTCTACTGTTTAGGATTGATGTTTTTTTTTTTGTGAAATTCACCAAAACCAACATATCAAGCTACGCCAATGAAGCTCATAGCACTTGACAACTCATTCTCTAGCTATCATGGGCAGTTGTAAATTTCAACCACGTAATTTTTTTGTTTTGAAGTTTGTGCTACTGTTATCACCAACTAGGGTGGCTGTCTGCCTACTCTTGTTTGGTTGCTTCAGCAACCTGCACCATTTTTTGTCACAATCGCCTGCTTACCCATTTTGCTTTGCAAACCATTGTCCTGTGGTCAAAATTATCTGATTTTTTTAGGGGAGTATCATTCCAGCATTGGAAGATCCTGTATCAATTATCAGATCAATCCAAAAACCAGAGATAGGTTGTTGATGATGATTTCTGATGTGGTGGCGAAGAACTAGTCTAAATGTTAAAACACAAACCAAACATTGGAATTAAGCTCTGAAACTCATAGGGGAGTCTCACGAAACCAATTCTAGATCCCCCTACCATTTTGAATTCAATCCAATGAGGTTTGCTAGGCCTTTCATGCTTTGTTCTGCAAGATAAGCCTGAAAGTTCTGCAGAGTTGTGCCCGTTTGGGGTTTGATGCAAAACACAAACCAAATCCTGGAATTGAGCTCTCAAACTCATAGGGGAGTCTCATCACACTGATTATAGATTCCCCTATCATTTTCAAGTCAATCCAATAAGATTTGATAGGGCTTTCATGCTCTGTTCTGCAAGATAAGCCTGAAATTTCTGCAGAATTGCCTGCGTCTGGGTTTTGATGCAAAACACAAACCAAACCTTGGAATTGAGCTCTCAAACTTTTAGGGGAGTTTCATCTTACTGATTATAGATCCCCCTATCATTTTCAAGTCAATCCAATAGGATTTGATAGGGCTTTCATGCTTTGTTCTGCAAGATAAGCCTGAAATTTCTGCAGAATTGTGCCCGTTTGGGTTTTCATGCAAAACACAAACTAGACCTTGGAATTGAGCTCTCAAACTCACAGGGGAGTCTCATCACACTGATTATAAATCTCCCTATAATTTTCGAGTCAATCCAATAAGATTTGATAGGGCTTTCATGCTTTGTTCTGCAAGATAAGCCTGAAATTTCTGCAGAATTGTGCCCGTTTGGGTTTTGATGCAAAAAACAAACCAAACCTTGGAATCGAGCTCTCAAACTCATAGGGGAGTCTCATCACACCATTGAGAGACTCCCCTATCATTTTCTGAACAAACCAATAAGTCTGCATTTTTCTGCAAGGTTTGCCTGAAATTGCATAAAAAATGGTTGCTTTGTGTTCTTTTGCAAACTACCAACCAAACCATGGAATTAAGCTATGAATCTCAAAGGGGAGTCTCATCACACCATTTCTAGGACCCAATTTCATTTTCAAGTCAATCCAATAAGGTTTGATAGGCCTTTCATGCTTTGTTTTGCCTAGACATACTGAAAATTCCGCAGATTTGTTTGCGATTGGATTCCGTTCCAAATCACAAACCAATCCTTGGAATCAGTATGTGAGACTCAGTGGGGATCCTCATCACACTAATTCTAGTTCCCCCTCTCATTTTCGGGTCAATACAATAGGGTTGGATAGGCCTTTCATGCATTGTTCTGTTTGGAAAGGCCAAAATTTATGCAGAATTGCCTGCGGGTGGATTCTGCTGTAAACCACAAACCAATAATTGGAATTAGTGCGTGACACTCTGTGGGCAGCCTCATCACACTAATTATAGACCCCCCTCTCATTTTCATGTCAACAGAAAATTGTTGAATGGTTTTGCTGCATTCTTAAATACCTATACTAAGAGTCTATCCAATCTCGTCGATGTAGTTAAAAGTGAAGGCCATTGCGCTTGTACAGTGTGATGACAATGTCAAACTTATATGCTATGGTCTATCTAGGCTGTAGTGGGGTAGACACTATAGGGTACAACATTTCTAGGTTTCCTACTTGTACCCACATTTTGCCTAGTCATTTCATTCCTCGTAATTCTCACATGGTATCAGAGCATGTTCCCTAGTGGGAACGTTTTCTAGGGCCCACCACTATTACCATTTTTTTTTCCTTACCTGCCCGGAGCGCGCTTCGCGCCTGCCCTAGTCGCGCCCTGTGCGCCTGCCCTCTCGTCGCGTCCCCTGCCCTTAGCGGCCCGTCGCGCCCCTTAAGGCCCCTTCGCGGCCCCTTCTCGGCCCTTCGCGGCCCCTCTTTCAGCCCTTCGCGGCCCCTTCGCGGCCCTTCGTGGCCCCCCTCACGGCCCTTCGCGGCCCCTTTGCGGCCCCTCGCGGCCCCTTCGCGGCCCTTCGCGGCCCCTTCGCGGCCCCTCCGCGGCCCTTCGCGGCCCTTCGCGGCCTCTTCACGGCCCCTCCGCGGCCCCTTCGCGGCTCTTCGCGGCCCCTTCGCGGCCCCTCCCCGGCTCTTCACGGCCCTGCCGCCCCAGCAGCAGCTGCCGTCGCGCCTGCTGCCGCTGCTGCTTCCGCCACGGCCGGTCGCCGCCGCCGCTGCTGCTGCTGAGACAACCGCCGCTGCCACTGCCGTGACAGCCGCCGCCGCCGTCCCGGCCCTACCCTGCAGCCGAGTCGCGGCCCTCCTCTACCGCCCTGTCGCGGCCCTGTTCCTGCCGGCGCACCTCGGCCCTGCCCCACCACTTGCGGGCTTCTACCCACCCGCCCCTGGTAAGCGCACCGCCGAGCCGCGCCCCTCGTGCTGCTGCTACTGCTAACCTGCTTCTGCTGCTGCTGCTGCTGCTAGCCTGCAGCTGCTGCTGTCATGGCTACCCCCAATGTGCTCACCTTTGATGCTGAGGTTCGGGCTGTCGACTTTGAGGTCTGGGTCGATGATCTGCAGCTTTTCCTGCAGTGCGATAGAAAAGACGGTCTCTCACTGTTCGATCTCAAGTCTGGCGCCTCTGCTGCCCCTACTGTCGATGCTGACAGTACTGTTCGCTCACAGTGGGCCACACGCGATGCTGCTGCCCGTCTTGCTGTGCGTAGTCACCTGCCGTCCACTGAGCGCGCGCACTTTAGTCAGTACAAGAGTGCTAAGACCTTGTACGACGCTGTAGTTGCATGCTACTCTTCCCCTGCCACTGCTGCCCTTAGTCGCCTCATGCTGCCGTACCTGTTCCCTGACCTCGCCGCCTTTCCCACAGTCGCTGACCTCATTACGCACCTCCGCATTAGTGACACCCGCTACCGCGCTGCGCTTCCTGCTGAGTTCTGCGCCAAGAACCCCCTGTCAGAATGTTGTATTTGTCTAGCCTGCAGTGGGGTACTCCATAGCGAGTACAGCCCAATTTAGGGTTTCCTATATGTACTCAACTGCTTGCTAGTGCAACCTCTCTTTCTTCTCCTAAACTTTCTACTCGCTATCTTCACATGCTACCAGAGCCTGTCTTTCCTTGGCCTGTGGGCCCACCTAACTGCTTCCGCTGCTACTCTATTTGTTGCACGCCCCGTGGCGTGCGATGCCTTCTTCCTGCCGCCGGTGCGCCCCGAATTTTTTTTAGGGTTTTCTGTCCGCCGTGCGCTCGGGGCGCGCGGCAGTTTTCTGCCCGCCGTGCGCCCCGAGGCGCGCGGCGGTTTCCTGCCCTGGGGAGCCCGCGCGCGCCCCGCCCGTTCGTCGCGGCGCCCTGAGGAGCCCGCGAGCGCCCCGCCCGTCCGTCGCGGCGCCCTGGGGAGCACGCGCGGCCCCCACCCTGCTCGTCGCGGCGCCCTGGGGAGCACGCGCGGCCCCCGCCCGTTCGTCGCGGCGCCCTGGGGAGCCCGCGCGCGCCCCGCCCGTCCGTCGCGGCGCCCTGGG